CCAGCATTAGTGAGAAGACTACTCTTTCCTCATTGAATTGTCTTGGCAGTATTGTTAAAAATTGGCCATAAATATAAAGGTCTATTTCTGAACTCTCAATTCAGTTCCATTTATCTGTATGTCTATCCTTAGGCCTCAATAACAGTAGCTTTGTAATAAGTTAGAAACTTGAGACGTGCGAGTCCTCCAACTATGTTCTTTTTCTAGATCGTGCTGGCTATTCTGGATCCCTTGCATCTCATATTAATTTTAGAATGAGCTTATCAATTTCTGCCAAAAAATCTATCTGAGATGTAGATGGTGAATGCTTTGTAGATCACTTTGAGGAATGAGCAATGCATTTGCTGTATTATTGGATGTTGTCAGAAATAAATTGACTTTGGGAATAACAGATTAGCTAATTAGAAACAAGTTTTTTTGAATAATGAGGAGTTTGTTGAGATGGTGTATCATTTAGTGGAGGTCTTTGAAACTCAGTCTGAGAAATTTGAATTTTATTAGAGAGATTTCGTAGCTCCCCCTAGATTGATTTGCGTATGTAGATGGCTTAATTCTGAATATCAGCACTACTGTACTTTTTATAGCACTAAAGAGGGCCTTGTCTGTGTTTTCTATGTGCAAGTGGATGTATTAAGTCAGTCAAAAAGTATTTGAATGCCTTTCCTCATAAAGGCTATAGGAATTTCAGAGCAGCACTAATAAGCATTCTAGAGGAATAAAAATAATATTAACGTGGGGTTTTGCCTACAGTCTAATAAGGATCAATTGTGTTGAAGGAATTGACACCTGCTACTTATCCTTCATTGATATTCTACTTATCCTAGGCCTCGAAACCAAATACTAAGTAGACTAAGACCATAAGAACAGTTTCCTTAGCAGACTTGTCCCAACTCAAGCTTATGATGGAAAAAAAAGTATGTCATGTGGTAGGAAGGCTCTCAAATGCAAATTTACTCACAATCCACACTTGGGGAAAATCCAGAGAGGAATGCATTTTTCAATAGTTCCATTGTTTTATTTTGAGAACCTTTTTATTACTTTACAACACTGCAACTCTGAAAAAATCTTTTTTTCTGAATTTTAATAATTTTAATGTTTATTAGCAGAAATAAAATTTATTTTAAAAATTTGGCTCTTGTAACTGTACCGTAAGCACAGTGTTTTCATGCAGAGTGATATGTGTGTGTATAGTTTAAATAAAATTTTGTTTTAAAATAATTTCAAATGTACAGAAAAGCTGCCAAAATGGTGCAGAGAATTCCCATGTCCCCTTCACCCAGATTTTCAAGTAGTTAATATTTTAGTGGTTCATTGCTTGCTCTGTGTATGCGTGTGCATGTGCATATAACCCTTGTTATAACCTTTTTCTGGACCTTTTGAGGGTTAGCAGAGCACACTGCAGACAGGACCTGTCATCACTCCTGAACACTCCCACGTATATTTCCCCCAAGAGAGTCACTCCCCTACATAACAGCAAACAACCTTCCACATCAAGAAGTCAATATTGTACATCACCATCTAGGCCACGAATCCCATTCAGATTTCCCCTACTGTCCCAATAATGTCTCTTTCTTTCCTTTCTGGTTCAAAATGCTATACAGGAATACATATTGCATTTAGTTGTGTATTTGAGGCTCCTTTAATCTGAAACAGTTCCAAGTCTCTCATGTCCTTGACGGTTTTAAAGAGTATATTGTAGGAAAATGAAGCAACCAGACACCGAGGGTTTCTGGAGTACGAGGTTTTATTAACGTGCATGGGTCCATAAGAGTCAGTCTCCAAATTCTGAGCCCTGAACAAAGGATTCTTGGGGTTTTTATAGTTTACAGGGTCTTCTTGTCTACATAGCAAAGCGTGATGCAGAAGTGGAATGTGGAAGTTAGTTCTAGCTATGGGGCAGAAGCAGAGTATGAAGGCTAAATTTGAAGGTCAGTTTTTAATAGCAGGGGTGTTAATCTCAGTCCTAGCTAATGCACTGTTGTTTACTTATCCTAGACAGCCCCATCATTCTCCCTAGGGCGCCTGGGGCCTGGGCAAATAAAGGTTAAACAGAGGTTCTTCAAAGTTTCCCATATCAAGTACAGGCCTTACTTTCTATAGGATGGCCTACAAATGTGGGTCCCTCGTGGAAGGAATAACAAAAAATGATGCTTTGCTTTTCCCTGTGAGGGAGGCTCATCAGGAAGCTCAAGATGTGGACTCATCCCAACATGGTGATGTAACCTTGGTAACCTGACCTTGTTGGTTTCTTCAATTACCCAGTTTTCCCCTTTGTGACTGATTTGTATTCCACAATCATGCTGATATCCTACTAGTCATCAAATCTCCACCCATCAACCATTGAACCATCCACTTTGATAATGATTAACAAATGGGAATTCTTTGTTTCCATCACTTCCTCTCCATTACTGAGTTAGCATTCTACTATTAGAACTTTCCTTTCCATTTATTTATATGAGTGTGAACTTTTATTCAGTGGATTGTCATCCATTATTATCACTCTTATTTCGATGCTCAAACTGTTTCAGATTTGGCCAGTGGGAACTCCTTCAAGCTGGTTATTAACATTGCAACATTTAAAAGTATGCATACTGCTAAGATTCCTCCATGTTATGACTGCTTTGCAATATGCTATTTTGTAAATATGTTTATTCATCCATTCTTCCATTGATGAGCACTTGGATTGTTTATAGGTTTTTGCTGTTGTATTTTGCTATTCCAACTCTAAAGTAATGTTGCATTTCAACTGTATTAAAAAATTTCATATTACCATTTATGCCATCTGTAGAGTGTACAAATATTAACCACTAGAAGCAGCATTATTTTGCATTCTCACAATATGTAAGGCTCACTTTTAAAATACCATCTTGACTCATAGCAGGATGACAGCTAAAGAGAGGGAAGGTAAGAGGTGGAGGGACTGAGCAAAAAGGAAAAAGAAGTCATGGATGATAGTGTGGGGGAAGGAGGTATAAGGGGACTCCATTGTAAGGGGGAAAAGGCTAAGTAAACAAACTTTCTTCTCTGCACTTTTCACGGAGAATGATTTAAATGACCTGCTTTCAAAATAATTTAATAAAGTCTTTATCTTTAAACAAATTTCCTCTTGTTTTTTTCCCTTCTATGTATTGGGGGATATTGAAAGGAAAAAGGTTTAGAAAGCAAAACTGAAAGGTGAAAACCTTTGCACCTAACCAAAACTTTTGCCAAGGTAAATGTGCCACCAGCGGACACCACGTGAGCCTCGGGTAAGAGAGCTGCCACTGAGACGCTCAGTTCCCGGAGCGCAGGCGCAGAAACTCATCTCCACCCGTCTCGTTTTCTACCCCGAAAACATTATCGCGAGCATTGGGGAAAACTTTGGTAATTACAGAAACTACGTTCTCGCGAGAGTCACTGGTTGCTATAGTTGCGATAAACACCTCTGTGGCTGTTGCAGGTAGGGTGACTGTCTCTCCTTAAACCCTCTCTTCCCGGCCTCGCTAGCCCGGTCCTGTGGCCAGACCCCGTTACCTCAATCTCTGCTCTCTCAGTGGTGGCTAAGCTGCGCCTCCTCCGTACACACCTAAACGCCACCGACTCCGCCAGGCGTGACGCCCCCGCCAACACCCCCCACCCCCCAAAGCCGGAAGTAGACCCCCTTCTGGCTTGGTGCCGAGGTTCCGCGAAGTAAGCGCAGACTGTGCCCCTAGCCGCAGACCCACCTCAACCCCATCATCTCCTTCACATGATTTAACTCCTCTGCAGATTCTTCTGAAAAGATAAGAAATGGGTGCCCTATTGGGGGCCTCTCGTCATAGGAGCCTGACTGTCCTGACCATAACTTGTAATTAACCAAAATTTTTGTATTCATTATTCAACAGATATGCCGCTAATGCCTCTTGCAGCCAGAGGCCACAAGCCTCAGAGGCTGTGAATATGAATGAGAGATTACTTGTCTTTAAGGGGATAATTGAGCATTCAGGAAAAGCAGTGCAAATTGATGATACCGTTAGCGCTTTGCTTCCTAGGTTAAACAGTTTTGCCATTTTAGTGGATATTTACAACAAATGTGAAACAGGTCAGAAATTTTCTTATTTATTTTACAGAATCTGAAACAGGTCAGATGTCACCCATTTCACAGAAGGTGAAACTGAGGCTCAGAGAGCTTAGGCATTTGTCCAGGGTCAGGCTAGTAAAGGCCTAATTCATGTGGTACTATTGAAAAGGAAAGAAGAAAACTAATGCAAAAGTCATTTCAAATGTAAACTTGGTAACAAAGTTGTCAGGGCCACCTAGGTCTGAATGAGCTTGGAGACATGGTGTTGAGCAAGTGATCTGAGACTTTTAGGTTGAGTGGGAAAGTGAGGGAGTACCTGGGAAGAGGCAGAATAACTATGAAGTGTGGGGGCAGCAAGGTATCTCCTTATTTTGTACCACCAGTCCCAGACGCACTGAGCATAGCATATCCTAAGTGAACGTTTGAATTGCCACTTTGAATTGATTCACAATTAAGTTCCACTTTGATTCAGAAAATATGACCTTTTAAAAAGAACATATCCAATTTATTTGTGAAATTGTGTCCTCAGTGTTGTAAAGTAATTAAAATATCTTTGACTAAATGAGACATATGTCAGAATTTTTTCAGTGGACTGTTATGTGTGTCTGTTTCTTTCCTGTTACCAAAGTATATTTTTGTTTAATGGGGAGATTAAATAACCTTTGAGTTGAGCTTCGAACATTAAAAAGAAAGAAAGAAAAGAAAGCTACCAAAGAACACGACAAAGGGAATGGGAGCTGAGGGTTGACATTTATACCCTCTTTGTCTTGTGATAACTTGTGCTCAATGAGTTAGTTACATGTACAAGGATCTTTTAAGCACTAACCAGTGGAATCATCCTTATAAACTCCCTAATCCCTGCCTGTCTAGCAACAATGGTTGGAAAGGCCACAAAACAGTGTGGGACTATTGCATTTCCCTAAGTTCTCCCCTGGTGTTGGTATGAGTAATGTGAGTTCTTGTGCAGCTGTGGTACATGAGGAGACTGTTTCATAATTATGTTTACAGGGGCCAAAGAAGACCAGAGGGACTTTGCTCAGGTGCCAACATGGAGCAGGTTGCATCCACAGGCAAACCTGTGCAGATCACTGTGGCAAAGGGATATGAATTGGTGAGGTTATTTTTGGAAATCTGAGATGTTCCAGGTTTATTCCTACTTCTTAAAAGTATGTTTGTCTTTGGGCTGAGCTCAGGTATCTCTGTCAAACACTGTGTGCTGTGGAAGGTGCATTGGGAGCACCTGAGGGTGGAACAAAGTTTGCCATCATCTCGTCCCACCAAACCCGCTGGCTCTATGGGGCCATGGCCCGCCCTTCTCAGTGTTTCACTTTTTTGCATATTTTAAATTTAATTTATTGGGGTGACATTGGTAAATAAAATTATGTACGTTTTAGGTATGTCAGTGTTTCTTATTGATAGTCTAGAATCAGCAATTCATATTACTGTGTGTATAATACCTGGCAACTTTAATATTAAATTTAATAGGTAGAACAAGAAGTAGTTTTCACTGCCCCAGACAGCAATTCCTTTTTCCTGAAAACAATCTAAATTTTTCCCATTTCTCTTGTGATTAATTTCATAGGATGAATTTAAAAAATAAAACAACATGGTATAACTTAAAAATTTTAAGAATAATGAAATGGCAAAATATTCATTCATTATTAAGTCAAAAAGCTTTCTAAAAGCAGGGTGTAATAAATGTTCTCTACTTTGTATTAAAAGATGTACTTATACATACATATATATGTATACACACCCACATACATATACACATATATTCACAAAAAGCACAGGAAATATATTCTAAAATGGTAATAGTGTTTGCACATTAGATTTTATAGGTAATTTATTTTCCTGTGTACTTTTCTCAGTTTTCCAAATGTTCCACAATACAATTTTATAAACCCAGTAAGTGTTATTTTTCAAAACTTCAACATAATGGCATTTAAATACAGTGTTGCATTTAATGACAACTAGATTTGTTTAATGACTTTCTGTCTACCTTTGTATTTGTAATATTAGTGTGATAGGAAAACAGAGAAAATACTATTTACTACAAGTAAAAATGGGTTGCCAGTTGTGTAGGAACATCCTCTATTTGATTATAATTGTGAAGTAATATGTTTCTGTCAACAGAAAGGTTTTAAAGGAGATACCCCAGTTACCTTTATTCGTGCAGAATTTAATCAGGCAGTTTTGGGAGACTCTGCCAAAATTACCGTTTCTTCAGAAGGAACTGCAGTGTACAACTTCACTGCTAGCTTCGAGTTCAGTCCTGAAGGAGGAGTCACTTTAGATGACCTCGCCCACAAACCTGTGTTCTGTAAGTCTTTGTGGTTATAAAAATGTTAATGATATGAGTATGTTATGAGGAGATTCTGAGATATTTAGTAGCTGTTGTTGGGACAGATGAACACACTTTACCTTTTAATCTGGTATAACACAGTGTACTTTGAGTCCTACCTGCTTCCAGCAGCAGACACCGTGACCTACTAATTTTAACTAATATGTATCAAAGACTTGTTGATATATGACTGAACTTGGCAACCCTGATCTCCTAAGCTGAGCTGAAATTCTTCCTTTGTATTCCTGTATTTATGGTTGCCAGATTTTGAATAAAACAAGAAATAAAACTTGAGAAATACTTAGACTAAAAATTGTTTATCTGAACTTCAAATTTTAAAATAGGCATCTTGTATTTTACATGGCAACCCTATTGTATTTCCGTGTACTCACCATACTGTATAGCAGTGATTAATTTGCCTCCCTTGTTGGAGGAGGCAGTTTTTGAAATCTGGGCTAGATCTTATTTATTTCACAATTTCTACTGTTTAGAAATATCTTGGAATAAAAGGGCTCAAAGAGTGTTTGTGGAATGAATGACTGGATAAGTGGGTGGACGGTTTCTGTATCCACACTGCTATAGTTTCTAACTATACAGTATTTTCTCTGATGTATTTTGGTCTTATACTGTGAGCCAAGACTCTCAAAAAGAATGGACTGGAAGCCCTGGCTCAGTAGTTCAGTTGGTTAGAGCATCATCCAGATAAACCAACATCGCAGGTTTGATCTCTGGTCAGGGCACACACAAGAAGCAACCACTAAATGCATAAAAAAGTGTCTTTCTCTGTCTTACTCTCTGTCTCTCAAAAAGAAAACAAAAAAACAAAAAATGAATGGACTAGAAGAAAAATCCACTCACCATTTTATCTGTCTAGGCCATGGGTAGAGGAGAAAAGTCTTCCTTGAGTTAGTAGTCAAGCACTTATGTCAATTGTTAAATAACCTACAAATTTCTTAAAGTACACAAAGAACATTTATATAATAAAAACTAACCACATACTAGACCATAAAGCAGGTTTTGCCATATACCAAAGAATCAATAGCATGCAGACCAAGTGTTCTGATCAAAATACAATCATCAACAACATTAGAAATCAAACATAAAAAGATAGAAAAAATCCATTTGGGAAACTGAAGACATATTTATGAACTTCCAGCCAAGATGGAGGTGTAGGTGGAAAGCTGTGCTTCCTCACACAACCGAATTTAAGGACAACAAAGATTTGGAAACAAAAACACAACCAAAACAGACAGAAAATTGAACTGTACTAAAGTCTGACAACAAAAAACTATTCATCCTTACGGGTGAGAGGAGCGGAGTCGGTGTCCAGGGTAGAGGGGTCCTGGCAGCAAGAGGCAGTGGTTGGTTACCTGGAAACCAGTAAACCCAGTAAGGCTTACAGGCAGCTGGCTGACCATGGACACACATTCGCGCACAGATAAACCAGGCAAAAAAAGGGCAGTGAGACAGCACACAACCCAGGGCCCCAGTGATGGGAAATAAAGCCTAAAAGCACCAATTGGAAAAACTTTCAGGGGTTGAGGTGCTGGGAGAGGCTCCCAGTTTCACAGGAGAGTTCGTTGGGGAGACTCACAGGATCCTAGAATGTACACAAGTCCACACACCCAGGAACCAGCACAAGAAGAGCCCAATTTGCTTGCAGACAGCAGCAGAGGGGACAGAAATCTGAGAGAGAGCAGAGCAAACGTCATTCCTCCCTCTGACCCTGCCCCCAGTCACAACCCAGCCATGTGTACTGTCCCACCCTGGTGAACACCTAAGCCTCTCCCCCCATATGTAACAGGCACAAACAGACCAAAACATTATGGCTTAAGCAGAACAGCTCAAAGCCCCAGAACCAAGACTTCTAAGTGGAAAAAGAGATACCCAGCCTATCAGATGCACAGGTCAAAACACTGGTGATCGGGATGCTGACAGAACTGGTTGATTTTAGTCGCAAATTAGATGTAAAAATGAAGGCTACACTAAGTGAAATGAAGGAAAATGCACAGGAAACCAATAGTGATGGAAATAAAACTGGGACTCAGATCAATGGAGTAGACCAGAAGGAAGAAAGAAATAACCAAACAAAAAAGAATGAAAAAACAAGAATTCAAAAAATTGAGAGGCTTAGAAACCTCCAGCACATCTTTAAACCTTCCAACATCCAAATTATAGGGGTACCAGAGGGGAAAGAGGAAGAGCAACCAGTGGAAAACTTATTTGAACAAATAATAAAGGATAACTTCCCCAGTCTGGCAAAGGAAATAGACTGCCAGGAAGTCCAGGAATCTCAGAGAGTCCCAAAGAAGTTGGACCCAAGGAGGAACACACCAAGGCACATCATCATTATATTAGCCAAGATTAAAATGTAGAAGAGAATCCTAGAAGCAGCAAGAGATAAGGGGACGGTTACCTACAAAGAAGTTCCCATAGGACTGTCAGCTGATTTCTCAAAAGAGACCTTCCAGGCAAGAAAGGGCTGGAAAGAAGTATTCCAAGTCATGAAAGACAAGGACCTACATCCACAATTGCTATATCCAGCAAAGCTTTCATTTAGAATGGAAGGACAGATAAAGTGCTTCTCAGATAAGGTCAAGTTCAAAGAGTTCATCATCACTGAGCCCTTATTATATGAAATATTAAAGGGACTTATCTAAGAAAAAGAACATAAAAAGTAGGAACAGTGAAAGGACAGCAAACTCACAGTTATTAACAACCACACCTAAAACAAAAGCAAACTAAGTGGACAGCTAGATCAGGAGTGGAGCCACAGAAATGGAGATCACATGGAGGGTTAGCAACAGGGGAGTGGGAGGAGGAAAAGGGGGTAGAAGGTACAGAAAATAAGTAGCATAGATGGTAGGTAGAAAATAAACAGGGAGGGCAAGAATAGTATAGGAAATGTAGAAGCTAAAGAACATGTGACCCATAGACATGAACTAAAGGGGGGGAGTGTGAGGGGAGGGGGTGTCCAGGGTGGAGGGGAATGAATGGGGGAAATGGGACAACTAATGGCATAATCAATAAAATATATCTTTAAAAAAGACATGAATATTTCACAGGAAAAATTTAAAAATCATAACAAAAACTACAAAACATTTAGAATCAACACCAAATATCAAAACTTGTGGAGAGGCCAAAGGGACATAAAAGGAGGTAAGTTTTTTATACTTGAACTAGTGAAATGATGAAGTGCAGACTGTGATAGGTAATGTAAATATAATGTAATGGAGCAACAACTAAAAATATATACAAAGAGATGTATTCAAAAGTGTCAGGAAATCAGAATTCTAAACAAGATGTTCAGGTAATCCACAGGAAGGTGGAGAAAACCCCCCAGAGAAATGAAAAAGAGGACAAACAGAAGAGCCCAGCAGACTTTAGGCCTAATACATTAATAATTACATTATTATTTTTACAGAATTGCAGAGTGAATTTAAAAATGACCCAACCATATGCTGTTAAGAAACTCAGAATAGAGCCATATAGTCAGGTAAAAAGTTAAAGGATAGGCAAAGATAAATAATGCACACATAAATCAAAACAAAGTAGAAGTGACTACATTAGCATTAGATAAACTAGACTTAGCAAAGAACATAACCGGAGATAGAGAAGTTTATTACATAATGATAAAAAGCGTAAATCCACCAAGAAGACATAATGATTCTAAGCAGGCATGTAACCTGCTTGCAATCTGCCAAATAACAGCTGCTAAATATGTGAAACAAAACTGATAAAACCGAAAGGCAAAATAGACAAATTTACAATTATAGGAGTTGTAAAGGTCTTTCAATAATTTGTAGAATAACTAGACAGAAAATCAGCAAGGATATAGGAAATCTCAACAGCACCTCCAACCAACAAGATCTAATCAATAGAATATACAGATTTTCAAAAGCCCAGAGATCACGTACCAAAACCATTTCCTGGGTCATAAATTTAATTGAAATGGATGAAAATAATACTGAATGTGTTCTCTGACAATAATAGTACCATAGTAGAAATCCATAATAGAAAGATAATAGAAAACTCTTCAAACACTTGAAAACTTAAATCATACTTCTAAATAATCCAAGTGTCAAAGAGGAAGTCTCAAGGGAAATAAAAAGAAACATTGAACTGAATGAAAAAAAATGCTACATATTAAAGTTTGTCAGACATACCTAAACCATTACTGAGAAAATTTATGGCACTAAATGCATACATAAAAAAAGATGAGAAATCTCAGGCCAATTATCTAAGTTCTCACTTCAAGGGTCTAGAAAAAGAAGAGCAAAAGAAACCCAAAGCAAACAGAAGAAAATAATAAAGATAAAATCAGCAATCAATGAAATGCATAAAGGAAAATGAATGAAATAAATAGCTGGTTATTTGAAAATATCAAATTTGACAAATCTCTGGGCAGGGGAAAGAGAACACAAATTATCAGTTATCAATATTGGGAATGAAATGGAATGAATACTGATGCTGCAGACATTAAAAGTAAGGAAATACTGGGTGAGTCAAAAAGTCCATTTAGTATTTTTCCATAAAATAAAAGACATTTTTGTTTTCACCAATAAGTTTATTGATTTGGATATTTTGAGTGTGTCAGCTATCTTCCACATGGCATAATGCTGATTGACCTTAATTAATGTCCCAATTTGATCCCTATCAACTTCAACTGGTCTATCCAAACACGGAGCATCATCCAGCGAGAAATCTTTAGCTCAAAACTGCAACTTCACAGGCTGCTTTTGACACATTCGATCAGTCACAGCACCTTCTCCATATACTGCACAATTTTTTATTTCGTGTTTCAGTTGTGCTTTTACCTTTCTTGAAATAATAAAGCATAATATGCTGAAAATATTACATATTTTCTTCCATCTTCAATATAAAATGGCTACATAAAAATTCATCGGTTTTGATAAGTTTTTTAAATGCACACTGATATGAAGCTGTCACACTACAATCTAACAAAATTGTTTTGAATGAAGTTAAAGACAATTGAGTGCTACTAGAGCCATTTTATGGAAAAAAAAACAAATGAACTTTTGGCCAACCCAAAATTATGAACAACTTTACACACATGAATTTAACAACAGAATGGGCCAGTTCCTTGAAAAACACTAACTACAACTCATCCTATATGAAAAAAAATTGTCCTATAACTACTAAGGAAATTGAACTCATAATTTGAGTTCCTTAAAAGGAGCAGATAATTTCATTGGAGAATTCTATAAGCCCTTTGCCCTTGCCGCCTTTAAGATTCCTTCTTTGTATTTGATTTTTTTTTCATTTTTTAATTGTTGTTCAAGTACAGTTGTCTTCATTTTTGTCCCACCAGGCCCCCACACTCTACCCATCCCCACTTCCCACCCTCGAACCTACCCCTGTTGGCTTTGGCCATGTGTCCTTTATATGTTCCTTGATGGACCCTCCCCTATTTTCCCCCATTATCCCTTTCCCCCTCCTCTCAGGTTACTGACAATTTATTCTTTATTTCATTGTCTCTGGATGTATTTTGCTTGCTTAATTGTTTTATCGATTAGGTTCCACTTATAGGTGAGATCATATGGTATTTATCTTTGCCTGAGTTATTTCATTTAGCATAATGCTTTCCAGTTTCATCCATGTTGCTGCAAAGGGTAGGAGCTCTTTCTTTCTTTCTTTCTTTCTGCTGTGTAGTATTCCATTGTGTAAATGTACCATGGTTTTTTGATCCACTTATTTACTGATGGGCACTTAGGTTGCTTCAAGCACTTGGCTATTGTAAATTGTGCTGCTATGAACATTGGGGTGCATAGGTTCTTTTGGATTGGTGTTTCAGGATTCTTAGGTTATAATCCCAGCAATGGTATTGCTGGGTCAAAAAGCAGATCCATTTTTAGTTTTCTGAGGAAATTCCATACTGTTTTCCATAGTGGCCGCACCAGTCTGCAGTCCCACCGACAATGCACTGGGGTTCCCTTTTCCCCACAGCCTCTCCAGCACTTGTTGTTTGTTGATTTAATCATGATGGCCATTCTCACCAGTGTGATGTGGTCTCTCATTGTGGTTTTAATTTCCATCTCTATGATGGCTAGTGATGCTGAGCATCTTTTCATATTTCTCTGGGTCCTCTGTATGTTCTCCTTAGAAAAGTGTCTGTTCAGGTCCTTTTCCCATTTTTTAATTGGGTTGTTTGTCTTCCTGTAGTGGAGTTGTATGAGTTCTTTATACATTTTGTAGATCAAACCCTAGTCTGAGGTATCGTTTGCAAATGCATTTTCCCATACTGTTGGTTTTCTTTTTATTTTAATGCTGCTTTCTTTAACTGTGCAGAAGCTTTTTATTTTGATAAAGACCCATTTGTTTATTCTTTCCTTTATGTCCCTTGCTCTAGGGGCCATATTGGTGAAAATATTGCTGCATGGAATATCTGAGATGTTCCTACCTATGTTCTCCTCTAGGACTTTTATGGTGTTGCAACTTATATTTAAATCTTTTATCCACCTTGAATTTATTTTTGTGTATGGTGTAAGTTGGTGATCGAGTTCAATTGTTTTGCATGTAGCTGTCCAGATCTCCCAACATCATTTGTTGAAGAGGCTATTTTTCTCCATTTTATGCTTCTGCTCACTTTGTCGAATATTAATTGACCATTGAGACTTGGATTTATTTCTGTGCTCGTTTTCTGTTCCATTCGTCTATGTGTCTGTTCTTATGCCAGTACCATACTGTTTTGATTACAGTGGCCTTGTAATATATATATATTTTAATATATTTTGTTGATTATGCTATGACAGTTGTCCTATTCCCGCCTTTATTCCCCCCCACCCTGCACACCCTCTCCCACTCATATTCCCACCCTCTTAGTTCATGTCCATGGGTTGTACATATAAGTTTTTTGATTTCTACATTTGCTACACTATTCTTAATGCCCTCTTCCCACTGTCTGTTTTCTTCTTTTTTTTTAAATATATTTTATTGATTATGCCATTACAGTTGTTCTATTTCCCCCCTTCATTCCCCTCCACCCTCCACACCCCTCCCCCTTCCCCCCTTTAGTTCATGAACACGTGTCTCAAGTTCTTTAGATTCTATATTTCCCCTACTATTCTTGCTCTCTCCCCTATCTATTTTCTACCTACCATCTATGCTACTTATTTTCTGTACCTTCTCTCCCCTTCTCCTTCTCCCACTCCCCTATTGCTAACCCTCCACGTGATCTTCATTTCTATGGTTCACTCCTGATCTAGCTGTCCTCTTAATTTGCTTTTGTTTTAGGTGTGGTTGTTAATAACTGTGAGTTTGCTGTCCTTTCACTGTTCATCTTTTTTCTCTTCTTTTTCTCAGGTAAGTTCCTTTAACATTTCATATAATAAGGGCTTGATGATGATGAACTATTTGAATTTGACCTTATCTGAGAAGCACTTTATCTGTCCTTCCATTCTAAATGAAAGCTTTGCTGGATAGATCAATCTTGGATGTAGGTCTTTGGATTTCATGACTTGGAATACTTCTTTCCAGCCCCTTCTTGCCTGTAAGGTCTCTTTTGAGAAATCAGCTGACAGTCTGATGGAACTCCTTTGTATGTGACTGTCCCCTTATCTCTTGCTGCTTCTAGGATTCTCTCCTTCATTTTAATCTTGGCTAATATAATGATGGTGTGCCTTGGTGTGTTCCTTCTTGGGTCCAACTTCTTTGGGACTCTATGAGATTCCTGGACTTCCTGGCAGTCTATTTCCTTTCCTAGACTGAGGAAGTTCTCCTTCATTATTTTTTCAAATAAGTTTTCAATATCTTGCTCTTCCTCTTCTTCTTCTCGTAACCCTATGATTAGAATGTTGGAATTTTTAAAGGTGTCCCAGAGTTTCCTAAGCCTCTCCTAATTTTTTTTTTTGAATTTTTGTTTCTTCATTCTGTTCTGGTCAAATGTTTATTTCTTCCTTCTGCTCCAAATTGTTAATTTGAGTCCTGGTTCCTTCCTATCACTGTTGGTTCCCTGTGCATTTTCCTTTATTTTACTTTTCAAAGCCTTCAGTTTTTCCTTATTTTTTATCCACACTCAACCATTTCTTTGAGCATCCTGATTACCAGTGTTTTTTTTTTTTTAAGTTCTTTTTTTTTTAATATTTATTTATCTTTAGAGGGGAGGGGAAGGAGAGAGGGAGAGAAACATCAATGTATGGTTGCCTTTCATGCATCCCCTGCTGGAACGGTCTGCAGGGAGGAGTGCTCTGGGAAGAATGGTGCAAAAGAAAGTTTGAACTGTGCATCTGATAGGTTGGGTATCTCTTTGCTGATTAGTTGTATTTTTTCTGGAGCTTGAGAGTTGCGCTTTTAAAGGTGAAAAGAGTTATGGAGATAGATACTGGTGATATGTACATAATAGCACTGGACTGTACACTTAAAAATGGTTATGATGGTAAATTTATGTAATGTGTGTTTTACCACAGTATTAAAAAGGCATAAAAAGAATATTCTGCTATTACTTTTGAAAACATAGATAAAATGGACAATTTATTAGAAAAATAAAAATGGGAAAAATCTGATTAAATGAAAGAGAAACCTATGTGATGCGGACTCTGAACAGCAGGGTCCATGTGTTGTGGCTGCGATGGACACATTCACACAGAGTACAGAAGTCCTGTGGAGAAAAAGGGATGGCATGGCCACTCTCTGAGTGAGAGAAAGGGCCCCAACTCCCTCCTGGACAGGTTTTTATTGCTTTTTTGGGTACAGCACATTGAGGATGGTCCTCATTTACTATGCGCAGGTTCCCTTTAGGTGATTATCTTTTGCAGATAACAAAGGAAGGAATGTCGCTAATTACTTCAAAGAGAAGTATATTACAGTTCAAGGGGAAAAGTGGTTGAACTGGTTATACTCCATACTTGGGAGGTTTAGCACAGTCTTATGAAGTTACTTTAGAGATAGGCCGTAAGCATTTTCTGCCTCAATCCAGGGTGAGGGAGTTTTAGCAAAAAGCAAGCCTCAGAGCAGCCTAAGTACAATGCAGGCCTGACTCCCCACTGGCAAACAGATCCGTGTGCTTGGTTCCTGTGTGCTGACTCGCTCCCTCCAGTTTTTTGAACCAGGGGCTCAGAAAACTGGAGGGCTCAGAAAACTATATTCACCACTGCCACACAGATAGGTTCCCTCTACTTATGGAGTAAAAGAGACTTAAGAGACATCAATTAGTTACAATGTCTGGATTTTATTTGGCCCTGATAGAAACAAATTGTAAAGAAAATTCTGCTGAGAGACATGAGATTGAACAAGAGGAAAGGTGTATCATGTTCTTAGGAATGCTCAACATTATAAAGATGTCATTTTTCCTAAATTCCTATCAGCTTAATATGATCTTTATAAATCTGCCAACATTTTTTAAAAACAGTTGTTACAGAATTCACTGAGGTGGTCCAGTATTTTCTGTCAGAAATCACCAATAATGGTGCCTTCTTGGTGTCAAAGTTTATTCCTCTTAACTTAAATTCTTTGATAATGCATTGCATGTTGCACCTTGGTTATCTGATTGATGAGCTAGACATGTTCTCATTTTCTTTGTTTGATTTTTCTAGTAACTGTGACCGAAGTTTTACCAAAGGAAAAGAAACAGAAAGATGAGAAGACCTTAATTCTTGGGCAGGCTGTGGTGGACCTTCTTCCGTTAGTGGAAGGTGAGATGTATGATTTGCTCAAAAGCAGACATAAGAAAGCTCATAAAATTTAAGTCTAGTGAACTGAAAAAAGTCAGCCTCATTGGATTTGAAGGATTTGATGAAAATATGAACACATTTATCTTTTTCTAACCTCTCCTTTTTTGGCTTGACTTGGCTTTTTTTTTTTTTTGCAGGAGAGAGTTCATTTGAAACAATGGTCCCCCTGCACCCTGTGACAGGCTCTCCCCTGGAGGTTCCTCGACCAGGTGGTAAGGTAATCAGAGTTTTAACATTCAACATTTCAGCCTACCATTTAGTCTGACAAGTCATCTGGAATTAAGGTTCAATTCAGTTGAGTTCAGTTTATCAGGCACCTTCTTGTTATAGGCATTGTGTTAGGTTCTGGGAAACAAAGATAAATAAGGCAGAGTCCTACCTTAGGAGTCCATAATCTACACAGTATGGATTTTAGCCCAATGTGATTAAATGGAAGGGCACATGGACACAGTGGGCGCAGAGTTGGCATTGGTTACTTTGCCCAGGGGTAGATGTTAGAAAGAGTTAACCATGGAAATGCCTCTTGAGCTGTCTTGATGGATTAAATTGAATTGTGTATGAATGCACATAACATACTTTCTACTATGGTAGCCTGCCTCTGGTTATTGGAGGAGAGGAAGCATGAAGTGATAGGCTGTGTTACTGGTTTGTCTTCTAGGCTGTGTTTCCCATTCCTTCTGGGGGTTAGTAACTTCTTGGGGCACTATTTGCCACTCTGTTGCAGGTGGATTCACTCTCAGCAGATATCACAGCTACCTTCTGTTTTGCAAGAGTAAAGGAGAGAGGAGGGCCCAATTGACTCAACTCTTCTGACTGCAGTTCTCTAATTAACCATCACTGTAGGCTCCTTTCTGCTGCTCACTGATCTGACCTGGGAGCTGCCGCAGTCCACTCCTGCATCTGCTGTGGTTCTCTTCTGATTTTAGGATGTGACTGGTTTATTCCAGGTTTTTTTTAGATCTGATTTAATTTGATTTCTATCTTTCAAGGATTCCTTAAAAATGTCTAGTTTAGTGATGGCATTTCTTGTTTTCTGGGGGTTATTAAGCATTATCCTTTAATTGGATATAAAAACATAATTTAATATCTTTCTGTTATCCCATGTGATTTGTGCTGGAAAGAGGTGTATATCTGAATTCAGTCTGACTGCCTTGGTCCAGTCTCACAGCCTTTGTACTGTCGATTTTCCTTAGATACATACAGAAGAAAAGTTAGTCAAATGGATTATAGTCCTCATATTTCCTAATGATATTCGTTGTTTTACATACTCAGAGAAAAAATACAGCAGTTAATTTCCATTTGCTTGAGAGTTCTCACTAATTTTATATTTAAGCTAGACTCAGAGGCTAAAGTGAAATAAACTTATACTAGGAAAGATTCCAATTCACCTTCTAATAGTCCCTGTCTTGATTGAGTAATACAAGCTGCGAACCTTAGGGACACTTCCTTATCTTCTCAGAGACATATTGACAAGCGGTGTTAACATCTTCAGTGCCCCTTTCTTGAAATCTTTCCTTCCTTTGGTGTTGTGATTTTCTACTCACTGACTGCACCTTTCCAGGTTCCTGCACTAGATCTCTCTTCCTCATGTCCTTAAGAACAAAAGGTCTATTCTTGGCCACCTTCTCTTCTTAGCATGTCTTCATACTCCTGTGGGTAGGAGGTGGCATCCATAATTTAAAAAGTTACCAGTACATTGAAGATTTCTATTTCAGTGGCTCCTGTTCAGACCCCTCTCCTGAATTCTGGAATGTCAGATTTCACAACCACCTGCTGGATTCCTCTATAATGATATACCATCAGCATCTAAAACTCAATACTCCAAAGCAACTCAATACTTAAACTTACTCTTCCCTTTATCGTAGTTATTTTGACTAGTGGCATCACCTCTTTGTGAAATCATAGGACATACGTAGAACCTATGCTGTTTCCTTGACTGCTCCCTCAGGCCCTAAGTACAGCCAATTCCCAAATCTGCCTTTCATCAAATTCAACTTTTTCTATATTCTAAATACCTTTGGTCTGTCTCTCTTTAGATTCATTCCTACTCTTTGTTGTCTTATAATTTCTCACCTGGAACATTACACATAGCCTTGTAACTGCCCGTACCTCCCTCTAGTTCAGCCTTCCGACTCCTAGGAGAGTGGCTTAAAAGTGAAAATGATCACATCTCTTCCCTTGCCTAGGTCTGTATGGTTCATAGATTCTCCCACTGTTTGCACATTAAGGTCCAGATTTCTTAGCATGCATGCAACAACCTTTATGAAATGAGCTTCCAACTTGTTCAGTTCACCTCACAGCACTCTCTTCTTTGTGCTTTATGTTCTCTAATCCTGAACTACTTAGTTACACCTGAACTGAGTACACCATGCCACTTGACTCAGTACCTCTTCTTTTTGTTCAGCATTAATTTCTCTTTCTTCCTCTGCTTATTCAGATTATAACTCCTATTCATCTTATAAAAGTTAATTCATCTCACCAAAATGCCCTCTCTTACTCCTCCACACCCCAATAATTGATTATTCATTTCCTCATGTCTCTATTATAGCATTTCTAAGTCATGGAGTTATAACATGAATTCTATGATGAATTGGGCCATGTCTTCTTTATCTGTATATTTTTAGTGCTATAGTAAAGTGCTTAGCATATAATGACACATTTTAAACCTAATTTTATTGTATACAAATATATGCATCTATATCTGTATATGAGCGTATATACATTTGAAAAAATGTACTATTAAAAAGCACTACATCTTCCAAATCAAATTTCTATTAGAGAAATAACTTGGGAATTTCCCATTATCAGGACACTTAATTCTTAATAACAATATTAATTATTCTAACTAATGTTGAATTTTAAGAAATAAAGTGAAATAAATTCTTGTCTCTTTTCTCATTTAAAAAGCACTAGCTGTCTTGCCCACCCTACTTGGATACGTCACTAACATTGAATCCTTGGCAGCCCCTCTAAAAAATTTATTCCTTGAGCTTATCCATGTTGCCAAAAAAACCTTCATATTTGAAAAAATAGAAATATGTCAAGGAATATGATTTTTAAATATTTCATAAAAACCTAAAAAGTTTTTTTAAAAAGCACATTTGAATTACAGAATAAACATGATATAGACTAGCAAAAAATTTACTTCAATCTCATTCCCTCAATCATACGCAACCACTATTAACATTTAAGTATAGAACCTTCTAATTTCTCTTCTATGAGAAAGAAGAAAAACTTCTACTTAAATTTTAAAAAAATCCTCACCTGAGTACATTTTTTCATTGCTTTTAGAGAGAGAGGTGGCAGGTGTGTGTGGGAGAAAGAGAGAAAGAAAGAGAGAGAGAAACTCTGATGTGAGAGAGAAACATTGATGTGAGAGAAACATTGGTTGCCTTCTCCTGTCTGGGGATTGAACCTTCAACCTTCAGATGTGCCCTGACCCAGAATCAAACCCTCAACCTTTTGGTCTATAGGACAACACTCCAACCAACTGAGCCAAACCAGCCAGGGTGGTCTTCTATATGTATTCGTGTATACATACTTAACCTCAACACTGTAGAAGGGAAGCACTCTAATTTGGAGAGAAGGTCATTTTCTTGGCTCTGTCTCTCTAATTCTTGGGACCTAAAGAAAGTTATTTGAATCCTTTGTATGGAAATAAATTTGACCTTTTTACCCTGAACGGTGCTGTAATATTCAAATTGCCAATTTTTCCTTATCTGGCATTTTCAAAATGTTGCATAATTTTATTTTATTTTTGCAGCAGTGCACGCTTGAAGTCAAAGTGTCTGTGGCAGAGACTTTATTGACCACAGCCCAGATGGTAGGAGGCAATCTACTGAAGGTCACATTGGAGGCTGCCTACTCTGTGCCTGAATCCTTCATTCCAGTAGGTCCCCTGCAGAACTACATGGCTGGTCTGCAAGTTCCATCAAGTGGAGAGGTAAAACCCTGTAGCCAGATATTTATAGATTTAGACACTTGCATGAGCATGCCTTCTTCACACGCTAAGATTTCACTCACAGCAAGCTCTGCTAATGGCTAAGGTTCATATGAGGCTTAAAAAAATAAAGCTTAATTCTATTTTACAAGTAGATGTTTATATTTATAGTTTATATATTATAATTATATAATCCACATAGTATATTATAGATTGCATATAATTTATATCAATAAATACACATTTGTGGTAGAAAATATGTAAGACATTTTAAAATTGATAATTTTTTATGTTTCTATACAAATACTTTATGCATATTTTTGTGGATTTTGTGTAATGTACTTTATTATCCAAAACTTTCTCTTATTTCTAGGTTATATTCTTAGTCCAAATTTCTGTAGAGTGATTGTATATGGGTCTTTTGAGACTCTTGATAGAGGTTTCCCATTTGCTTATTAAAAGGATGTAATTAGTTAATATTCTCACCTGTTTTATTGCCATTTTACATTTTCAGTGTAGAATCTTCCAATTACTCTTCACCATTTTCCATTCCCAACAGCAGTGCATAGGTTCCAATTTCTCCACATCCTTGCTAACACTCATTTTCTGGTTTTTGATAATAGTTAACATAAGCCCTTACTGGTGTGGGTCAGTGGATTGAGCACTGGCCTGTGAACCAAAAGATTGTGGGTTCAATTCCCAGTTAGAGCACATGCTGGGTTGTGGGCCAAGTTCCCCATTTGGGGGCATGTGAGAGGCAATTGATTGATGTTTTTGTTACCCATTGATGTTTCTCTCCTCTTTCTCCCTCCTTTCCTCTCTCTCTAAAAAGTAAATAAATAAAATTTAAAAATAGTGAACATAAGAGGTGTGAAGTGGCATCTTCTTGTGGTTTTGATTTACGTTTCTTTAATGACTAATGACTTTGACTTTCAGTATCTTTTCATGTGCTAATTGGCCTTTTGTATATCTTTCTGAGGGAAATATATATTCATGTTCTTTGCTCTGTTTTTTGAATCTTTGTTGTTGTTTATGAGCCTTTGGAGTTCTCTGTATATTTTAGCTATTAACCCCTCATCAAATATGTGATTAGCAAATATTTTCTCCCATTCTATGGGTTGTCTTTTTCACTCTATTGTTAGTATCTTTTTTTTTTAGTATCTTTTTTTAAAAAAGATTTTATTTATTTTATTTTTAGACAAGAGGGGAAGGGAGGAACAGAGGGAGAGAAACATCAATGTGTGGTCGCCTCTTGCATGCCCCCTACTGGGGAACTAGCCTGCAAACCAGGCTTGTGTCCTGACTGGAAATTGAACTGGTGACCCTTTGGTTTGCAGGCTGGCTCTGAATGCACTGAACCACACCAGCCAGGGCCATTGTTAGTATCTTTTGATGTACGAAAGATTTTAATTTTGATGATGTGCAATTTGTCCATATTTTCTTTTGTTGTTCATGACCAAGAAATCACTGCTAAACCCAATGTCATGAGGCTTTTCTCTCTGTTTTCTTCTAAGAGTTTTGTAGTTTTAGCTTTTAGGTTTAGGCCTTTGATCTATTTGAGTTAAGTTTTGTATGTGATGTTAGGTGAGGGTCCAACTTAATTTTTTTCATGTGGATAACTAGTTTTCTGAGCACTGTTTGTTAAAAAACTGCTCTGTCCTCATTGAATGGTCTTGGCACACTTAATTTTGACCATTTTTGCCTGTACTTTTGTTGTTTTTATGGAGGAGCAGATTTTTAGAAGTTCTCACTCTGCCAATCCAGAAATGCCCCCTTCTTCACAAAAGTTAGGTATTTTTATGTATCCTCACCAAAGGATACACACATGCACACACACACACACATTTTTTAGAGACAGAGAGGAGAAGGGAGGGGGAGAGAGAGAGGGAGAGAAATATTTACTGGTTGCCTCTTGCGTACACCCCAATCAGGTATGGAACCCACGACTTAGGTGCATACCCTGACCAGGAATCAGGACTGTAAACTTTTGGGTTTATGGGATGATCCTCCATCCAATTTAGCCACACCAGCCAGGGCTTCACAAAAATTTTTAAACTTAAAATAAAGAACTAGAATAGTTGAGTTCCAGGGTATGCTAATTTTAACTTTTACTAGAGACTACAAAATTTCTTTCCATATTTGTACCAATTTACACTTATATCAACTATATATATAATAATATTATTCCCTTAAGAGATTAGCCAAAGAACATACATGCATACCCAAAGTACACAGACAACAGTGTGGTAAAGGTGGGGGTGGGGGCTGGGTGGAGGGTGCAAAGGAGGAAAACCGGGGGCATCTGTAGTAATGTCAAAAATTAAAAAGAGAATTCCCTTAACAATATTTACACTTGACATTTTCAGACTTAGATTTTTGCCAATCTGTGGTTTAAAATGGTATCTCATTATTTAAACATGCACTTCACTTATTATTAACAATATCTAGCATGTTTTTATTTAAATGTTGGATTTTTAAATTTTTCTTTTATAAATTTCCTATGTACATATTTACCACTTTTCTATTACAAATATAGTTTAGATAAATTATAAATATGGAAATGCTTATATTTTAGGCTGTTGAAAAATTTAAGTTTGTTTTTTAAAAGATAATTTTTTTAAAGCTACATCATGCCCTCATATAAATATAACAAAAAGGTCAAAGGCGAGTCTGAAGAAATGACTCATATGTGAGCAATCAGGGCTGTTGAAGTGAATTTGCAAATTATTCAAAACCTGTTGCCAGCCACAAGGCAATAATCAATCATATCTCCACTTGCATATTTTGGACAAGAATAATTTGCATTATTATCAATTTTTAATAAATTACAATACACAAAGACAATGAAGGGCATAGGCTCATCTACAGAATCAGATAATCTTACAGAAGGGTTTGTTAGATAATGCCCAGCATTCCATTGTAAAGACACTTCAGTAATCCTTTTTGTCCATTTCAAAGTCTTTTACAAAATCTCCTGATGTTTGGTATTTATTTCTGCAGAAAGACTATCCTATTTTCTTTAAGAATGGAACTCTGAAGCTTGGAGGGGAAAAAGAACCTGTCCCCCGGCCCAAAAAATGGCCTATTGCCAACATTCTGGCTCCAGGGGCTACTAACATTCCTGATGCATTCATTGTTGGTGGGCCCTATGAGGAAGAAGACGGAGAACTCAACCACCCTGAGGTGAAAGAATTATGCAGTTTTTCTGCGATAAACTCAATGCACTGATGTAAGATCAAATATTTTGTGAATCACTGTAATTTATACACATCATCACCTTTTAAAATAAAGCAATTACATGTCAGAATAATACAGTTCGCTATCTAATTTTGATTTAAAAGTCTCCTGACATGTTATGTCCAAAAATAAAGGGTACATTTGAATTAAATCAATTCTAAATTTATTTTTTGAGTAGATAATAATACAGTCATAGGTCAAAATAAAGAATTGAAGCATGCTGCCAAAGTCTCCCTCCTTCCTCCTAATTCTGTCCCAGGTCATCACTCCAGTAGCCACCTGTGTTATAGTTCCTTACAGTTTTGGTGAAATAATTCGTAAGATGAGATGGTCGAGTTATTTGCAGTATCTGACACTAAATATTTTAAGTAGAAGAGCTAAAGCTGAAATATTTGAAAAACATTGTGCAGTGTCTTTTCTCACTCTTGGGATTAGTAGAAATTCATATTGTTCTTAGATTTATATTTTCATTTTGGTCAGATATTTTATTTTAAATATTGAGAGATTATGTTATAGTTTAGTTTAAATCATTAGTTCTTAAGACTAGTTGCTCATTAGAATCACCTGGAGAGCTTTTAAAACAACAACAATGACCAAGCCTTAACCCAGTCAATTATGTAAGAATTTACTTTTAAAATAATACTAATGCCCAGGTATTGATTCTTTTTTAAAGAAGCTTCCAAATAATTCTACCATGCATTCAAGGTTGAGAATCACTGATTGATGTTTTATGAACTAGTACTGGATAGATGTAAGGATAGTATAAGTAATTTAGCTTATATACTTTATTAATGTAAAAGTACCCTCAAATTTAAGATGGTATAGTATTTACGGTGGTGTCATACTTACAGCAATAATAGTAGTAGTAATAAAAGTATTGTGATCAAATCCATTAAAAGAATGCCCCACAAATTGAGCAGGATGAAACAATAGCACACAGAAAGAACACAAGTCTCTTATATTTTACAGGACAGGGAATTTAGGAACCAAGCAGAGAGCATAAAGAAAAGGATTATTTGGGACTTGGAGAGCCGTTGCTATCTTGATCCTTCTGCAGTGGTCAGGTAGGAAGAGGAAGGCAATTTGTCTAAACAACAAAGACTGTAGGTGGGAAGAAATGTTGCTTTTGTTAGTTTTATCTATATAGTTAAGATGATATGAGACTCTCTTTCTGCACATCTGCTAAAAACAGAGGCATCTAGTGATGGTGTATTAACCAAGGTGGGTTCCTACTTCTCTTTCATGTAAAAGAACTTCAGAGCTGGTATGTATGGTGGCTCCTCAGTGTAATGAGGGAAGCATGCTCAGTGTTTCTTTCTCTCTACCTTTTAAAAAAAAATTGTTGTTCAAGTACAGTTTTCTGTCTTTTACTCCCATCTCAGCCCACCCACCCAGCCCTCCCTGCTCCCTCCCATTTCTCCATGTGTCTTTTATATTCGTTACTATCAACCCTTCCCCTTTTCCCCTGAAATTTCCTCCCCTCTTCCCTCTGGACACTGTCAGTCTGTTCTCTATTTCAGTGTTTTTGGTTATATTTTGCTTGTTTGATTGTTTTGTTGTTTAGGGTCCTGTTAAGGGTGAGATCATGTGGTATTTGCCTTTCACCATCTGGCTTATTTCACTTAGCATAATGCTTTCTAGTTCCATCCATGCTGTTGCAAAGGGTAGGAGCTCCTTTCTTTCTGCTGTGTAGAATTCCATGTGTAAATGTACCACAGTTTTTTGATCCATTCATTTACTGCTGGGCAACTAGGTTGTTTCCAGCACTTGGCTGTTGTAAATTGTGCTGCCAAGAACACTGGAGTTCATAGGTTCTTTTGGACTGGTGTTTCAGGGTTCTTAGGGTATAATTCTAGCAGTGGAATTGCCAGGTCAAAAGGCAGTTCCATTTTTAGTTTTCTGAGGGAATTCCATACTGTTTTCCATAGTGGTTGTACCAGATTGCAATCCCACCAACAGTACACTAGAGTTCCCTTTTCTCCATGACCTCTCCAACATTTGTTGTTTGTTGCTTTGTTTATGATGGCCATCCTGAGCAGTGTAAAGTGGTATCTCATTGTGGTTTTAATTTGCATCTCTCTGATAGCTAGCGATATTGAGCATCTTTTCGTGTGTCTCTGGATTCTCTGTATGTCCTCCTTGGAGAAGTGTCTGTTCAGGTCCTTTGCCCATTTTTTAATTGGGTTGCTTGTCTTCTTAGAGTGGAATCATGTGGGTTCTTTTTATATTTTGGAGACTAAACCCTTGTCTGAGGTATCATTGGCAAATATGTTTTCCCATACAGTTGGTTCTCTTTTTATTTTAATAACAGTTTTCTTTAGCTGTGCAGAAGCTTATTATTTTGATGAGGTCCCACTTGTTTATTCTTTCCTCTATGTCCCTTGCTCTAGGGGACATATCAGTAAAAATGTTGCTGTGTGAAATATCTGAGATTTTTCTGCCTATGTTCTCCTCTAGGACTTAATGGTGTTATGACTTATATTTAACTCTTTTATCCACCTTGAATTTATTTTTTGTGTATGGTGTAAGTTGGTGTGCTCTCTACCTTTTTAAAAACGTGCCTTCCATCCAAAATTTTGCCTCATGGTCCAGAAGGGCTGTTGTAGTTCCAGCCTGCACATTCACATTCCTGGCAGAAAGTTGGAAGAAGGAAGTACTTATGGATAAAAATGAACACATGCTGCCTGTTTTAGCCCAACTTATAGAACTTTCCTGGAGTCTGACAACCTCAGTATCTCATTGGTCACCAGGTAGATGCAAAAGAGGCTAGGAAATAGTCTTTTGTTGTTTTTTTCTTAGATTAAATCAGGACTTAGATAGTACAAAAGAACGGGATACTTGATACTGTGTGGGTAACTATTAGTCTCTGTCAGTGACTTGGTGATTAGGGAAAGATGAGAAATAGAGAATTATCAATATATGTATAATCTGAATGGACTACTGTTTTATTTTCAATTAATAGATTGAAATAGATTTCAATTAATAATTATTTTTTAGAATTACAGAAATATTGAGCAGGTATTATGGTGAATTTCTGTATACCTCTGGTTACTCACTTGATTATGGTGTATAATATAAATATACATTGCTGGATTTGACTGGCTAATATTTTGTTAAGGCTACATCGTTCTTACTATTACTTCAAACAAACACTTATCTATTTGATTAATTAAAAATAAAAATAAAGAAAAAATTTCACCTTAATTTATTTTGTTCTCTCATCCTTTTCTTTTCTTTGATAAATTCAAATTTTTGACCCATATCAGTTTTCTTTTCTCTGAACACTTTTATCATTTTTTGTGAGCAGGTCTACTGGCCACAAATTCCTTTCATTTTTGTTTGAGAAAATCTTTATTTTTCTTTCATCTTTGAAGGAAAATTCCACTGGATATAGTGGAATTCTGGTTTGTTTCTTTCAGAACTTTAAATTTTTCACTGTACTCTCTTTTCCTTGCAGGTTTTCTGAAAGGAGTCCATTGTAACTCTTATTCTTGTTCCTTTATAGAAGAGGTGTTTTTTTCCCCCCTCTGACTTCTTTCAAGATTTTCACTTTCTCTTTGGTTTTCTACAGTTTGAATATGATACACCCAGGTGTAGATTTTTTTAGTATTTATTGTGCTTGGTGTTTTTTGAGCATCCTGGATCTGTATTTTGTGTCTGTCAGTACTTTGGTAAAATTCTTAGCCATAATGACCTCAGACAATATCTTTTGCTCCTTTTTCACTTTCTTCTCCTTCTGGTGTACCTGTTACATATTTTGTAAATGTCCCACAGTTCTTGGATATTCTGTTATGATTTTTTCAATCTTCCCCCTTCCCACTTTAGTTTGAGAAGTTTTTATTTACATTTTCTCAAGCTCACTGATTCTTTGCTCAACTATTTCCAGTCTACTGACAAGCCTAACAATATGAATTCTTCATATTAGTTGCATTGGTTTTTTTGTAACTTAATTTTTTTTTTATTGTTGTTCAAGTACAATTGTCTCCATTTTCACCATCATGGCTCCCTGCCCCACCCATCCTCACCTCTCACCCTTGAACCTATATGCCCTTCGGCTTTGTCCATGTGTCCTTTTACGTTTCTTGATGGACCTTCCCTTATTATCCCCCTCTCCCATCCTCTGTGGTAACTGTGAGTTATTTCAATGTCTCTGATTGTATTTTGCTTGCTTGTTTGTTCTGTTGATGAGGTTCCACTTATAAGTGAGATCCTATGGTATTGTCTTTGACTGCCTGGCTTATTTCACTTAGCATAATGCTCTCCAGTTCCATCCACACTGTTGCAAAGTATAGGAGCTCCTTCTTTCTCTCTGCTGTGTAGTATTCCATTGTGTAAATGTACCATGGTTTTTTGACCCACTTATTTACTGATGGGCACTTAGGTTGCTTCAAGCACTTGACTATTGTAAATAGTGCTGCTATGAACATTGGGGTATATAGGTTCTTTTGGATTGGTGTTTCAGGATTCTTAGGTTATAATCCCAGCAATGGTATTGCTGGGTCAAAAAGCAGATTCATTTTTAGTTTTCTGAGGCAATTCCATACTGTTTTCCATAGTGGCCGCACCAGTCTGCAGTCCCACCGACAATGCACTGGGGTTCCCTTTTCCCCACAGCCTCTCCAGCACTTGTTGTTTGTTGATTTGATCATGATGGCCATTCTCACCAGTGTGAAGTGGTGTCTCACTGTGGCTTTAATTTCCAACTCTATGATGGCTAGTGATGCTGAGCATCCTTTCATATGTCTCTGGGCCCTCTGTATGTCCTCCTTGGAGAAGTGTCTGTTCAGGTCCTTTTCCCATTTTTAAATTGGGTTGTTTGTCTTTCTAGAGTGGAGTTGTGTGAGTTCTTTATACATTTTGTACATCAAACCCTAGTCTGAGGTATCGTTTGCGAATGCATTTTCCCATACAGTTGATTTTCTTTTCATTTTAATGCTGTTTTCTTTAACTGTGCAGAAGCTTAATATTTTCATGAGGTCCCATTTGTTTATTCTTTCCTTTATGTCCCTTGCTCTAGGGGCCATATTGGTGAAAATATTACTGCATGGACTATCTGAGATTTTCCTGCCTATGTTCTCCTCTAGGACTTTAATGGTGTTATGACTTATATTTAAGTCTTTTATGCACCTTGAATTTATTTTTGTGTAGGGTGTAAGTTGATGATTGAGTTTTATTTTTTTTTGCATGTAGCTGTCCAGATCTCCCAACACCATTTGTTGAAGAGGCTATTTTTACTTCATTTTATGTTTTTTGCAAGAAAACTACACCACACTGAAGAAACAAATTAAGGAAGACACAAATAAATGGAAGCATATACCATGTTCATGGATCGAAAGAATTAACACTATCAAAATGTCCATATTACCCAAAGCAATTTATAGACTCAGTACAATTCCTATTAAGATACCAATGACATATTTCACAGATATAGAACAAACATTTAAAAAAATTATATGAAACTGTAAACAACCCTGAATAACTGCAGCAATTCTGAGAAAGATGAACAAAGTAGGAGGGATCACAATACCTGATATCAAACTATATTACAAGGCCACTATAATCAAAACAGTCTGGTGCTGGCATAAGAACAGACACATAGATCAAGAGAATAGAACAGAGAGCCCAGAAATAAACCCAAGTCTCTATGGTCAATTAATATTAGTTGCAGTGTTTTTGATTTCTAGAATTTTTTTTTGATTCTTTTTTAGAGTTTCTATATCTCTGTTATATTACCCATCTGTTTGTGGATGTTGTCTGCTTTTCCATTAGAGCCCTTGATACATTAATCAGTTATTTAAAATTTCCCATCTGATCACTCCAAGATCTGTGCCCTATCTGAGTATAGTCCTTATAGTATCTTTATATCTTCAGACTGAATTTTTGTTGCATTTTAGCAATTCATACAATTTTAATTTTGTTTTGATGTTCATGAACATGAAAGGTTATTTAATGAGAGTACTCTTGATCTTGTAATTTTTTATTGAAAGCTGGAGATGATGTAATAAGAAATGAGGTAATTATGTTTTTTTTAAGATTTTATTCATTTATTTTTAGAGGGGATGGGAAGGAGAGAGGGAGAGAAATATCAATGTATGGTTGCCTTTCCTGTGTCCCCCACTGGGAATGGCCTGCAACCCAGGCATGTGCCCTGACTGGGAATTGAACCGCCATCATCTGGTTCACCGGCCTGGGCTCAATCCACTGAGCTACACCAGCCAGGGCTGGTAATTATGTTTTTTAGTGTGAGGTTTTAAGTTAATCTGGGTAGAATCTGGGCTGTGTTTAATGTTTGCTCTAGCTGTAGGTACTAAAGGCCTTCAGTTTCTTTTTGTTTTTTGTTTGCTCTTCTCCTGTCGTCCCTGGGTTTGCCTGTGAAGTCTTTCTTAGACAGAGTCTGTATTTTGTCACCTCTCAGTTATAATCTACTGTTATCATACTGTAATTCTATTGATGACGTGGTAAGGTGTTGGGATGGGGAAGTGTTCTAAACGCCTATGACTAAATCTCAGTGTTTTCATAGGTTTGAGTCCGTGGGTTGTGACCTTCACAACTTTTTTCTTCCTGCCCTTATGTGAGGCAGGAAAGCTAGATGGGGCTGGAGATGCCTAGTCACACTTCTCCTGGGTCAGATAGGGCTCTGGTCATTTACCTGGGAGAGTAGGCCTTTGTTATGGAGAACACTCTGGGCATATTCCAAAATGTTTACTTTTTCCTTGTTTCTGCCTAAGAGTATTTTTATCCCATCTTCACAGCGAGAATCTGCTGGAGCTCCTTGTTTTAAAACACAAAAAAGTGTGGGGAACTTTTAAGACTGGTTACCCTAGTTTTCAACTCTCTTGCTCATCCACAGTCAGCCTCCAGCAATATGTCAAAATTACCCTCAAATTGTTTCTGCTTGTTACAGAATCTTGCGGCTTCTGCACTCTGTAAGCTGATCTCAGTCGTGATTTTCTGTACTTGACTGTGTCTTTAAATTTCAGAGCAGTGATTTGCCCTATGACCTTAATTCTTGGATCTTGGAAAAGTTGTTAGTTTTCAGTTTGATCAGCTTTTTTCTTATTGTGAGAAAAGTAGTGAAACAGCTCTTTACTGTCAGTCAACTGGTACTAGATGCCCCAGTCTGTTTTTGCAGTAGAGATAAGCATATTTTGTACTATGTTTGCATACTGGTCTGATTATTTGTTTAGAAAATATCACTAGAAGTGGAATTTCTTGGTCAAAGATTATTAACATTTCAAGGCTTTTGATTCATATTGCCAAATTACTCTAAAAATGTGTAATTCATCTCTGTTAGTACACTAGAATAATGTTCAGAATTTATATATTTTATTTTATTTTTTTTAATATTTATTTATTTATGTTTAGAGGGGAAGGAGAGAGGGAGAGAAACATCAGTGTATGGTTGCCTCTAGTGCATCCCCTGCTGGGAACTGGCCTGCAGGGAACTGGCTTGCAACCCAGGCATGTGCCCTGACTGGGAATTGAACCACGGTCCTCTGGTTCCCAGACCTGAGAATTTATATATTTTAAATTTATAGATTCGAGAAAGTTTTTAAAACCCCACTTACCTAATACAAATTTATATATGTGTATTCCATTAATTTTTTTAAAAAGAAATATTTTCCTGTAATCTAAACTATATTAACTCCATTTTTACATATAATGCTAATGGGATTATTGATATGCAGCTTTCAGAAGCGAATTGCTGATTGCCGACTGTGGCCTGTGGAGATCACAAGAGTTCCTCTGGTTATTCAACCGAAAGGGAAATCTGCCAAATTTGATAAGGTAAGTTGGTTCACTTAAAAATATTTATATAAGAAATGATGCTTCTGACTTCCAGCCAAAATGGAAGTATAGGTAGATAGATTCTCCTCCTTGCACAATAAGAAGGATAACAACCAATCTAAAAACAAACAAAAAAAACAACCAGAAATGCTAGAAAATCAAGTTGTATGGAAGTCTGATGACCAAGGAGTCAAAGAAGAACATTCATCCAGATGGGTAAGAGGGGCGGAGATGGGCAGCAGGGGCTGAGGGAATGTGCAGCAAGGTGGCTGCAGTATCAGCCAGCCAGCAGAATGAGCGGTTCTACATTTACGTGCAGGGATAAAAACCAGGAGTGACAACTGGCAAGTGAGCAATCCCAGCCTTAGACCAGACTGCGTAGCCCAGGGTTCTAGTGCAGGACAAATAAAGCGTCATAACCTTGACTTGTAAAAACCAATGAGAGTTGTGGCAGCAGAAGAAACTGCTGGTCTCACAGGAGAGTCAGTTTACAGGGGCAACAGGATCCTAGAACATAGGGCAGCAGCTAAACGGGTGCTACTTACAGGAAGTGGGGGAAGTGACTGAAAATAGGGTAAGAGCTGAGCAAGTTGCATTGTTCCCTCTTTGACCCTTCCCTCACATACAGTGCCACAAAGCAAAGCAGGTTGCCCTGTCCTGGTGAATACCTAAGGCTCTGCCCCTTATAAGTTAACAGATGGGGAAACAACATCAGAGAAGCTCTACCTAATACACAGAAAAACAGGGAGGCTGCCAAATAGAGAGACAAAGAAATGTGACCCAAATGAAAGCACAGACCAAAATTCCAGAAAAAGAACTAAGCAACATGGAGATAGCCAACCTATCAGATGCAGAGTTCAAAACACTGGTGATCAGCATGATCACAGAAATGATCGAGTATAGCTGCAAAATAAAGGAAGAAGTGAAGTCTATACAAAATGAAATAAAGAAAAATATACAGGGAACTAACAGTGAAGGGAAGAAAGACATGATTCAAATTAACAGTTTGGAACAAAGGAAGAAATAAACATTCACCCAGAACAGAAAGAAGAAACAGAATTTTAAAAAATGAGGAGAGGCTTAGGAACCTCTGGGACAACTTTAAACATTCCAACATCAGAATCAGAGAGGTGCCAGAAGGAGAAGAGGAAGAACAAGAAATTAGAAATCTATTTAAAAAATAATGAACAAAACTTCCCCAATTTGGCAAAGGAAGTAGACATACAAGTCTAGGAAGCACACAGAGTCCCAAGCAAGTTGGACCCAAAGAGGGCTACACCAAAACATATCATAATTAAAAATGCCAAAGGTGACTAATAAAACAATTTAATACAGTAAAAAAAAAAAACTAATAAAACAATTTAATACAGTAAAAAAAAAAAAAAGCCAAAGGTGAAAGATAAAGAGGAAGTCTTAAAAGCATCAAGAGAAAAGAGTTATCTACAAAGGAGTTTCCATAAAACTCTCAGCTGATTTCTCAAAAGAAATGTAGGCAAGAAATATTCCAAGTGATAAGAAGCAAGGACTTACAATCAAGATGTCTCTACCCAGCAAAGCTATCATTTAAAATGGAAGGGCAATAAAGTGCTTCCCAGACAAGGTAAAGCTAAAGGAGTTCATCATCACCAAGCCTTTATTACATGATATGTTAAAGGGACTTACCTAAGAAAGAGAAGATCTAAACTATGAACAGTAAAATGACAACAAACTCATAACTATAAGCAACTGAACTTAAAAAAAAAACTCTAAGCAAACAGCTAGAACAGGAATGGAATCATAGAAATGGAGATCACATGGAGGGTTATCAGCAGGGAGGGGGAAGGGGAAGAATAGGGAAAAAGATATAGGGAGTAAGAAACATAATTGGTAGGAACAAAATAGACAGGGGAAGGTTAGGAATAGCGTAGGAAATGGAGATGCTGAAGAACTTGTATGTATGACCCATGGACACAAACTAAGGGGGATTGCTAAAGGGAATGGGTGGGTACAGGATGGATGGGGGCCAAAGGGGAAAAATTAAACAACTCTAATAGCATAATCAATAAAATACATGTTTTAAAAAAGAAGTGCTGCTTCTAATTCTGATACCAATGGAAAATATGAACTGATATGGTCGCTCCCTAGCATGACCAACTGCTTCTGATTTGTTGAGTAGTTTCCTGGTTTTAGTGCTTAAAGTCTCTAGGAAACTTCACTTTCCCTGGCAAATCAGAGTGACTGCTCACTCTAGCTCCTTCTGTTCACTAAAAAATAACTTAGCCTTTATTCTTAGACATCCTATTTCTCTGTAGCCCATCAATACAGTTTTATCATAGGTAAAATCATACAAAATAATACAAAAATTATACAAATAATACAAAAATCATACAAAATAATACAAAAATCATACAAAATTTTTATAGGTCAAAAGTAGTTAGATATTGGCAATATAGTTTAATGTAATACATCTTTTAGAATTTCTTTTAGACTTTGGAATTAGTGTTTTAGCCTGCTAATTATTGGAGTAATAGGGTTCATAGATGTACGACTGTTCTGAAGAGATAGAACTTTGACGAGCCTAGCATAGGCTCTTTATTGTTTTACTTGTACATATCTGGTCTTTTATGTTTGTTCACAAACTCCCTGTAGGTAGGGATCCTATCATAGACGGCTTTGTATGTTCCACAGTATCTAGCATGATTTATTGTATATTGCAGATACTTAACAATTAGTACCTAAATTATTTTATTGATTTTTAAAAAAAATGTTTTTAGTGAGAGGGGAACGGAGGGAAGGAGTAAGAGAGGGAGAGAAACATGGATCTATTGCCTCTCACATATCCGCAACTGGGGACCTGGCCTGCAACCCAGGCATGTGTCCTGACCAGGAATCAAACTGGTAACCTTTTAGTTTTGTGGGATGATGCCCAATGCAGTGAGTCACAGCAAGTAAGGCTATTTTATTGATTTTTAAAATAGGCTTTTTGGGAGAATAAAATTACTACTACTGTGGTGTTACCCCTTCTCCTTTTGTAATATGTAATATGTATTGGCTAACTTCCTTAGATTTCTAAACAACATAATATTATTGTATGTACAGAGGGTTTTAATTTCTAATAAGTTTAATAGTTTAAATCAAAAAGAGTACTTTTAACCTTGTAAGAATTAAATGTGTGTTCTTCACTTTTTTCTTACAAAAGTTTTTATGGCAAACCATACAGCCATTAAAAATGATGTTAAGATATATTTATTGACATGTTCATCTTTAAAAAATATTTTTTTATTGATTATGCCATTACAGTTGTTCTATTCCCCCCTTCATTCCCCTCCACCCTACCCTGCTGTCCCCACCATTACCTCCCCTTTAGTTTATGACCATGTGTCTCAAGTTCTTTACATTCTATATTTCCCATTCTATTCTTGCCCCCCCATCTATTTTCTATCTACCATCTATGCTACTTATTTTCCGTACCTTCTCCCCCCTTCTCCTCCTCCCACTCCCCTCTTGCTAACCCTCCTTGAGATCTTCATTTCTATGTTTCCACTCCTGATCTAGCTGTCCTTTTACTTTGCTTTCGTTTTAGGTGTGGTTGTTAATAACTGTGAGTTTGCTGTCCTTTCACTGTTCATGTTTCTTTAACTTCTTTTTCTTAGATAAGTCCCTTTAACATTTCATATAATAAGGGCTTGGTGATGATGAACTCCTTGAATTTGATCTTATCTGAGAAGCACCTTATCTGTCCTTCCATTCTAAATGAAAGTTTTGCTGGATAGAGCAATCTTGGTTGTAGGTCTTTGGCTTTCATGACTTGGAATACCTCTTTCCAGCCCCTTCTTGCCTGGAAGGTCTCTTTTGAGAAATCTGCTGACAGTCTGATGGGGACTCCTTTGTAGGTGACTGTCCCCTTATCTCTTGCTGCTTCTAGGATTCTCTCCTTTATTTTAATCTTGGCTAATGTAATTACGATGTGCCTTGGTGTGTTCCTTCTTGGGTCCAACTTCTTTGGGACTCTCTGAGCTTCCTGGATTTCCTGGAAGTCTATTTCCTTTGCCAGATTGGGGAAATTCTCCTTTATTATTTGTTCAAATAAGTTTTCCACTGGTGGCTGTTCCTTTCCCCCTTCTGGTACCCCTATAATTCAGGTGTTGGAACGTTTAAAGATGTCCTGGAGGTTCCTAAGACTCTCCTCATTTCTTTGAATTCTTGCTTCCTGACTCTTTTCTGTTTGGCCATTATTTGCTTTCTTCTGGTCCACTCCATTGATTTGAGTCCCAGTTTCCTTTTGATCACTATTTGTTTCCTGTGCAATTCCATTCATTTCAATTAGTTTTGTCTTCATATGTTTCTCTAATTTGTGTCTATAATCAACCAGATCTGTGAGCATCCTGATGACCAGTGTTTTAAACTGTGCGTCTGAGAGTTTTACTATTTCTTCATCGCTTAGATTTATAGGCTCTGGGGCTTTGAGATCTTCTTGAGCCATTTTTGGTCTGTTCAGGCCTGTTTAGTATGAGGAGCGGAGCCTTGGACTCCCAGGTCGCTGGGTTGTGACGCTACATGTGGGGGCGTGGTCAGAGCGGGGAAATGGCGACCCCCTCTGCTGTTTTGTGCCACTGGGTGAGGAGCAGAGTCTTAGGTGGTTCACCAGTGTAGGGCCACTCAGGTCGCTGAGTTATGACACTGTATGTGGAGGCTGGGTCAGAGCAGGGCAATGGCGGTGCCCTCTGCTGCCTCTCGCTGCTGGGGCCTGCTGGGGCCTGTCTAACCACCCACTCCCTCGCTGGTCTATCTGTGCATGAATGCGCGACCACAGTCAATCTCGGCCCTGCTCCCTTGCTGGTTCCCCGTGGTTGCTCGCTGGGTCGCTCACTAGGTCCTCCACCCGTTGCAACCTCACACCTGGGTTCCGCACACCTGAGTCCGTCTGACCGAGTTTTCCTGTGCAACCCTGCTCTGCTAGCTGCTGGTTTCGCCCCTCTTACTGGTCAGGCTGAAGAATTCGTTGTTATCAGACTTCCGAAAAGTTCAATTTTCTGTGTTCTGGCTGTGTTTTCTGTTGCTAATATTTAGTTGACTCTAAACTTGGTTGTGTGAGAAAGCAAGGCATCTCCACCTATGCCTCCATCTTGGCGGAAGTCCCTAAAAAATATTTTATTGATTTATTTTTAGAGAAGGGGAGGGAAGGGAGAAAGAGAGGGAGAGAAACATTGATATGTGAGGGAAATATCAATTGTTTGTCTCTGACATGTCCCCCAACCAGAGCCCTGGCTGGCAACCTAGGTATGTGTCCTGACTGGGAATTGAACTGGCGACCTTTTGGTTTGCTTGATGACACCCAACTCACTGAGCAACAGCAGTGAGGGGATGTTCTTCATTTTACAAATGGTAAATACATTCATGATGGCAAACTGTCATTCAGTCTCCATCCCCAGCAGATAGTACTGATCAGTCAAGGCACTCTTTCCTTGTGAACCTAAAATACAGACCTTCTCTCAGTGCAGTATTTTAACAAACCTCCACCACTTTATTAGAATGTAGTCGTTGGTTAAAGGCTATTTGTCCCATACAGCTGGTTCCCTTTTAATTTTGCTGATATTTCCTTTAGCTGTGCAGAAACTTTCTATTTTGATAAAGACCCATTGTTTATTCTGTCCTTTATGTCCCTTGCTCTAGAGGGCACATTGGTAAAAATATTGCTGCATGGAATATATGAGATTTTCCTGCCTGTGGTCTCTTCTAGGACTTTTATGGTGTTGCAACTTATATTTAAGTCTTTTATCCACCTTGAATTTATTTTTGTATATGGTGTAAGTTGGTGATTGAGTTTCATTTTTTTTTTTTTTTGCATGTAGCTGTCCAGATCTCCCAACATCATTTGTTGAAGAGGCTGTTTTTACTCCATTTTATGGTTCTTCTCTCTTTGTTGAATATTAATTGACCATAGATACTTGGGAAAATATATTTGCAAATGATACCTCGGACTAGGGTTTGATCTCCAAAATATATAAAGAACTCACACAACTCCACTCTAGAAAGACAAACAACCCAATTTAAAAATGGGCAAAGGACCTGAACAGACACTTCTCCAAGGAGGACATATAGAGGGCCCAGAGACATATGAAAGGATGCTCAGCATCACTAGCCATCATAGAGATGGAAATTAAAACCACAGTGAGACACCACTTCACACTGGTGAGAATGGCCATCATGATCAAATCAATAAACAACAAGTGTTGGAGAGGTCATGGAGAAAAGGGAACCATAATGCACTGTTGGTGGGACTGCAGACTGGTACGGCCACTATGGAAAACAGTATGGAATTGCCTCAGAAAACTAAAAATGAATCTGCTTTTTGACTCAGCAATACCATTGCTGGGATTATAACCTAAGAATCCTGAAACACAAATCCAAAAGAACCCATGCACCCCATGTTCATAGCAGCACTATTTACAATAGTCAAGTGCTTGAAGCAACCTAAGTGCCCATCAGTAAATAAGTGGATCAAAAAACCATGGTACATTTATACAATGGAAGGCTACACAGCAGAGAGAAAGAAGGAGCTCCTATACTTTGCAACAGTGTGGATGGAACTGGAGAGCATTATGCTAAGTGAAATAAGCCAGGCAGTCAAAGACAATACCATCGGATCTCACTTATAAGTGGAACCTCATCAACAGAACAAACAAGCAAGCAAAATACAACCAGAGACATTGAAATAAAGAACAAACTGACAGTACCAGAAAGGAGGCAGGGAGAGGGATAATAGGGGAAAATAGGGGAAGGTCCATCAAGGAACATGTAAAAAGATACATGGCCAAAGCCAAAGGGGGTAGGTTCGAGGGTGGGAGAGGGAGATGTGTGGGGTGGGGGCCGTGGTGGGGTAAAAATGGAGACAACTGTACTTGAACAACAAAAAAACAAACAAAATATAACTAGAGACATTGAAATAAAGAGGAAACTGAGAGTAACCAGAGGGGAGGGGAAGGGGTAATGGGGGAAAGTAGGGAAAGGGTCATCAAGGAACATGTATAAAGGACACATGGACAAAGCCAAAGGGGATAGGATCAAGGGTGAGAGGTGGGGAGGGATGGTGCATCTAGTAGTGGTGGGCGGAAAATGGAGACAGCTCTACCTGAACAACAAAGAAGAATTTAAAAAAATAAAATTTCTAAGCTCTACCAGGCAGAAAAATAAATAAAGTCTATTTGTCAACACTGGTCCAGATGATTTGTAAGTTGTTTTTTTTTCATTCATATAATTCTATGAACTAAAGCCGAAAGCCACACATTCTGAGTTTAAAAAAAAATTTGTTATTTTTGTTTTTTATAGTTTACTATTTCTTAAGAATCAACATTGTAAAATTGAGTTTTTCATTGAATTATCAATTTATTTTAGTGTATGTTGATCCAACTACTGCCCTTACTATTTATTAACCCTGTTTATATCCATTATCTCTGTGATCATATTATTATTAAACCCATTTTGAAAATGAAGAAATGAATACCCAAAATGTCTGTTACTGGCCTAAATTCAACTAGTTAAGTAGCATAGCTAGTTCCTAAAGCCAGGTCTTTGAATTGCTGAGTTATAGCTCCATACCTTATACTACATTGCTCTATAACACTAATAGGTCTCTGCTTTTATTCCTTTAGACAGATGATGAGAGTCCACTTTCATTTCATGGTGTGGCTTATGTCAGTATGGTCCCATTGCTGTATCCGGGTGTGAAGAGAATTCGGGGAGCTTTTCATGTTTACCCTTACCTAGATAATGCAGTGTATGAAAAGGTAAGAAAAATTGTATAGAAGATATCTGTACGCTATACAAATTTATCATTTAGTATGGATTTGTTTACATCTTTAGCATATACATCTTTGCAATGGATATTGGAACCAATTGGTATACTGGGATATTAATTATAGAGCCTTGCTGTCATTCTGCCCTTGAACCTCAAAAAATTGGGGCCAAATATTTCAACAGTAATACTATATGTAAGTAGACTAAACATCCCAATTAAAAGGACAGAGATTATGAGACTGGATTTTAAAATATCAAGGTTCAATGATGTGCTGTCCAAAACAAATGTACCTTAGACTTAAACATACATAAGTTGAAGTAAAACAATGGAAAAGGGCCCTGGCTCGGTAGCTCAGTTGTTTAGAGCATTGTCCTGATACACCTAGTTTGTCGGTTCAATCCCCAGCAAGGACACATACAAGAAGCAACCGATAAATGCACAAATAATTGTGGTAACAAATTCTCTCTCTCTCTGCTTCCTTCCTTCCTTTCCTCTCTCTTTATAAAAAGTCACTAAAAAGTATAAAAATAAAATACCTTATTTAAAAAAGAATGGAGAAGAGGTACTATGCAGGTAGAAAATATAACAGAGGTGAGTGGCAATATTTATATCAGATGAGAAACTTCAAGGCAAGAAACATAAGTAAAGACATAGGGTGGCCTGTCTAAATGACCAAAGGGTCAATGAATCAGAATGGTATAATTTATAAATTATAAATTATTATGTAAAATAAGTATAGAAATTATAAATGTATACATACCTGACAACAAAACATCTTAACACACGATAAAAACCCAACAGAAGTGAAAGGAGAAATAGACAATTTAACAGTAGCATTTAGAAATGTTCATATTGTACTGACAATATTTAATAGAACAACTATATAAAAAATCTATATTAAATATAAATGTAACATGCAACCCAGCAAATTATTCCTAGGAACCTACTCCAGAGAACTGGAAACCAGCATTTTTACAAATCCATGCATGTGAATGTTTATAATGGCATTATTCACAACAGCCCCAAACTTACCACAATTCAACTGGTAAATTGGTAAACAAAATTTGGTGTATCTGTACAAGTGAATACTATTTAACAATGAATGGGAATGGACTGCAGATAATGTAATGTGCCAAAACCATTGAATTTTGAGTGAATTATATGGAATGCGAATTCTATCTCAAAAAAGCTGTTTCAAAAAAGTAATAGGCTACTGATACATTTTAAAACATGGGTGAACTTCAAAAACTTTATGTGAAGTGGGAGAAAGAAGACACAAATAACTACATATTGTACAATACCACTCACATGAAATATCCTCATTTCCCAGAGATGTTAAAATTTTTTTAAGTTTTCATTTTAGAATCTATGAAATGCAGTAATTGTAGGCTTGGGAATGATGTTTACTGTATACAGTTTTTCTTTAATATTGTTGAACTGTCTTAGCAGCTTTATTGAGGTATAACTGACATATAATAATACATGTATTTAAAGCACATGATTTTAAGTTTTTGACATAGGTATACATCTGTGAAACTCTCAGCTCAATCAAGATGGTGAAAATACCTATTATTCCTCAGTTTCCTTATAACTTTTCTGTTTTCCTTCTCTCCTACCTCTGTTCACTCCCCCCTTTTTTGGGGGGTGGCTTCTTTCACTCAGCACAAATTATATTTAGGTTCATCCATGTCGTTCAATTTAAAAATTTCTGTAAGGCCCTGGCTGGTGTAGCTCAGTGGATTGAATGTGGGGGCTGTGAACCAAACATCCGCGGTTCGACTCCCAGTTGGGGCACGTGCCTGGGTTGCAAGGCCAGTTCCCAGCAGGGGACACATGAGAGGCAACCATACATTGATATTTCTCTCCCTCTCTCCTTCTCTTCCCCTCTAAAGATGAATAAATAAAATCTTTTAAAATTTTTCTGTAAGATTCTTTTCCAGTCATTGCAGTTTGAATCTTCCCATGCAAAGTTTTTATTTTGAACTTTAAACTTACCCTATTCTTCCACTCATAACTGATAGGACAGTGGCAGTTAGATAGGTATTTCTTGTACAGAAATAAATTCTACCACTTAATTTGAAATTATACCCTCCCTTCCCCTCTGTCTAAAAATGAATAAATAAAATGGTTTTAAAGATCCCTGGCTGGGTGTGTGGCTCAGTGGATTGAATGCCAGCCTGCAAACCAAAGGGTCATGGGTTTGATTCCCAGTCAGGGCACATTCCTGGGTTGAGGGCCAGGTCTCTGGTGGGGGCACACGAGAGACAACCACACATTGATGTTTCTCCCCCTCTTTTTCTCCCTCCCTTCCCCTCTATCTAAAAATTAATAAATAAAATATTGGGACTTACGCCAAGATGGAGGCGTAGGTGGAAACACTTTGCGTCCTCACGCAACCAAATCTAAAAACAATAAAGTTTTAACAACAATAAACATAATCAAACCACACAGAAAATCAACAATACTGAGTCCAAAAGCAACGAACTGCTCAGCTAAACCAGTGAATGGGATGAAGCCAGCAGCTGAGCAGGTTGGGCAGGGAAGATCCCCGACCCGGGCGGTGCACAGAAAGCCTAGGGCACGGCTCCCAGAGGCTCCCAGATGCGGGCTAGCTACGGGCGGACCCAGGGAAGAGGCGTGGCTGGCTGGCTGCAGTTGGTCGCAGATTTGAGCGCAGATAAACCAGTGAAGAGGCGAGCGTTGAGACTGTGCGGCACTGGGCAGCGGCTCACACATTTGCGCTCAGATAAGCAGGCAGTGGGTGAGCGGAGAGGACCGCCATTGCTTCCTCTCTGACCCCGCCCCCACATACAGCATCACAAACCAGCAACCTGGGTGGCCCCGCCCTGGTGAACAACTAAGGCTCCACTCCTCATACCTAATAGGCATGAACAGAGCAAAACATGGCTCAAGAACAACTCAGAGCCCCAGAGCCGATAAATCTAAGCGACAAAGAAATAGCCAAACTTTCAGATGCACAATTCAAAACACTGGTGATCAGGATACTCACAGAACTGGTTGATTTTAGTCACAAATTAGAGGAACATATGAAGGCTAAACTAATTGAAATGAATGGTAATGCACACGAAACCAATAGTAATGGAAAGGAAACTGGGACTCAAACCAAAAGAGTGGACCAGAAGGAGGAAAAAAATGACCAAACAGAAAAGGATGAAGAAACAAGAATTCAAAAAAATGAGGAGAGGCGTAGGAACCTCCAGGACATCTTTAAACATTCCAACATCCGAATTATAGGGGTACCAGAAGGGGAAGAGGAACAGCCATGAGTGGAACACTTACTTGAACAAATAATAAAAGAGAACTTCCCCATTCTGGCAAAGGAAATAGACTTCCAGGAAATCCAGGAAGCTCAGAGAGTCCCAAAGAAGTTGGACCCAAGAAGGAACACACCAGGCACATCATAATTGCATTATCCAAGATTAAAATGAAGGAGAGAATCCTAGAAGCAGCAAGAGATAAGGGGACAGTCACCTACAAAGGAGTCCCCATCAGACTGTCAGCTGATTTGTCAAAAGAGACCTTACAGGCAAGAAGAGGCTGGAAAGAAGTATTCCAAGTCATGAAAGGCAAGGACCTACAACCAAGATTGCTCTAGCCAGCAAAGCTTTCATTTAGAATGGAAGGGCAGATAAAGTGCTTCCCAGATAAGATCAAATTCAAGAAGTTCATCATCACCAAGCCCTTATTATATGAAATGTTAAAGGGACGTACCTAAGAAAAAGAAGATAAAAAAGATGAACAGTGAAAGGACAGCAAACTCACAGTTATCAACAACCACACCTAAAACAAAAGCAAACTAAGAGGACAGCTAGATCAGGAGTGAACCATAGAAATGAAGATCACATGGAAGGTTAGCAACAGGGGAGTGGGAGAAGGAGAAGGGGGGGAGAAGGTACAGAAAATAAGTAGCATAGACAGTAGATATAAAGTAGATGGGGGGAGGGTAAGAATAGTAGGGGAAATATAGAATCTAAAGAACTTGAGACATGTGTTCATGAACTAAAGGGGGGGAATGGTGAGGGAGGGGTGTGCAGGGTGGAGGGGAATGGAGGGGGGAATAGAACAAATGTAATGGCATAATTGATAAAATAAAAATATTAAAAATAAAAATTAATAAATAAAATATTGAAATTATGTGTCAAAGATTAAAAGCTGTTTGCTAACAAGTTGATGAGATACACAATCAAGCTGGGTTGAGAAGTCTCCTTTTGAAAATTTGAATAATGAGATCGGCAGCTAACTTTCTGTGGTGGTTCCACCTGTTCAAGCATGGCAATGCAATGGAATTTATTGTTTTCCCTAATTCTCTTTGTTTCTACAATGTCTAAATTATCTGGCAAACTAAATAATGTTAAAGAATAATGTGGGCTTCTTTTATTTGCCTGTGATTCATTGCATTTTTTCTGTTTTTTGTTTTTGTTTTTTTCAGACCAAGTGTTTAAGTAGCTTGTTCCGGGATACTGGGCATCATTTGATTCAGAATAACAAAATAGGAGGAATCAATTCTCCGTTGTCCAAGCCAGTTATTTCTAGGAGTCTGAAAGAAGACAAAGTAGTAAGAAAAGGATATGGAAGGAAGGCCTGGGGATGTGGTAGGTTGTTGAGAAGGTGGTGGTTTTGCTGATTTTGTTATATACCAGAGGCTTACACTAATTTCTCACTTGGTGAATTGCCTCAATTTGGTTTGCATTTTGATGCAGCTTAATGACCATTGTTCCTGCCATTTTAAGAATTTAATTTTTAATGTGTGTTCATTTTCTTTCAGCAAGCATCTAGTATAAAATCTCAGAACTCAGATACTCCTTTGGAAACTGAACCCCCTCTAAACCACAATCCAGAAGGACAGGTAACTGCATAAAGAGTTGGAAATTACATTTAAATTAATCAGTCCTGTTCTGAGCAAGGTATGCTATAGTGGAAAATGCTCAGAAAAATATTCATTGACTTACTATCCTGTATTTACCAAGACTAGTTTGTGATGTTGGGTAAATTTCTTTGTCTTGCTGAGACTTGTTTAAATGTGTGGGTATCAGATCAGCTTAAATGTGTGGGTATCAGGACTTTAATGTCCTTTCCAGCATAAAAATGTATGTTCTTTCTTAAATAAAAAAGTAACAAAGAAACATTTCGAATGGAAAAAAATGAAATGGAGTGTGTAAATGTATAAAGTGTGTAAATATTGTCAATAAGAATGACTAGAGGAAATAATTTTTTCAGAGTTTTGAATATTTCATTTGGCACTTATAAGAAAAACAACCCAAGCGATTGTTTTGAAAAATAAAGTTTTGATGTAGTTTTGATATTTAGGAAAATTATTAAAGTATATTTCTACACAATGAGCATTTGCTTGTAAGCAACTATAACTAAATCCTTGAATTACCAATGATGAGGTGAATATCAAATAGCTCTGGTAAATTCTGAATATGGTGCTGTATTTAAGAGATTAAACTTTTCAGTGTGATTAATGACCATTTTATAATCTTTATTGCATTTCTTTCTTTATGGGTAACATAATTCAAAAGATGGCATAACTAGAAAAAGATGGCATAACTAGTAGTTATGTCTTTAATTATTTCTACTATATTGAGCACTATGGGTGTTAGAGATATATCAACTATAGCTTTTATTCATTCACTCTCAGAACACTCAGCAGTCTGGCGGGTGAAATAGACTAGTATGTAACCATAATACAGAATTTTGATGAATGCTGTAGTGGAGATACACAGAAAAGTATTATGTGGGCTCCGAGGAGACAGATCAATAGGTACTAGGATGGGGCAGTCTCAGAAGTCTTCATGGAAGAGGTGGCATCCGAGGTAAGTAGTGAAAGATGTGAAGAGAACCCTTTGCCAGATGTAGATGGAGGAAATTCAAACAACTGGAATCAAGACACAAAGAAGGTAGCAGAATTGGTGTACATCAGTGAACCCAGTGCATGGTATAGAGAAATGAAAAAAAAGGAGAGATTCTAAGAGGTGAGAAAGAAGAGACTGAGTTGGGTTATAGAAAGACTTTGAAAGACTTGCTGAAAAGTTTGGGCTTATTTCTGTAGATAATAAAGGACTCTTGAGCCTCATCTTAGAGGCTCATGTTAAAGGTTTTTAACTTTTGTGGAAAGGAGACCTCGTGTGTGTTTCAGGGAAGAACTCTTGGAAGGATGTCCAAAAGGGAGATTGAAGTTGGGATAGGGGCCTCAGAGGTGAGTTTATAGGTTTTTCGTATAGTGCAGATGAGTGTTCATAACAGTTTGAGTTAAGGGAGGGATTTTAAAGAATGTGAGAAGCCTGCAGAAGCAAAATGGAACTGGGAAGCTTTCAGGTATTGAGGAAGAAAAGTTAAGATAACTCAGATTTCAAGCCTGTCTTTCTGGAAGGATGATAACATCATCAAAAAAGTCAAAAGAGAGGATAATATATAGGAGATGATATATTCAATTTTGGACATGTTGTTTTTGGGATGCTAGCAAAAGTGTGAGTAAAGGTGTTCATCAGGTCGCAGTGGGTAGGTGGCAGTGAAGAGGCTGTGAGTGAGAATGTCAGAAAGTTATGAGGAAAACATTTCTGCAGGACTCATGAGAGAGGTTGGTGGAAGAAAGAATGGCATTCTATTACAACAATTCCAAGAAAGGTATCGAACAAGTTAAACAGGACTTCGGCTGTGGTAGACATTTCCAGGAATAAAACGCAAGAAGTAACCACAGTTACCATTTTTTTTGGTCCAGTTAAGATTACACTGTATAATTTCCCTTACTTATTACATTGCAGACATTATCTTATGTTACTAAGGTTTTTCATAAGTATCTGTTTTCCTGAAAAGAATAAATTAGAAAAAATGTCTTTACAGCAATACGTAGAAGCAGGGACATACATCGTGTTGGAGATTCAGCTGGACAAAGCCTTGGTTCCAAAGCGGATGCCAGAGGAGCTAGCCAGACGGTGCGTAGCGATGGTTGGCATTCTCGTTTGCAAAAACAATTTAGGTATGAATAAAAAAAGTCAGTTTGTGCCCATAAATGTAATTTCCCTTGGGATAAACATCAATTTACTGCTTTTTCCAGATTAAGTTTCTTATGTTTTCTTGCTACAAAAGCAGTATATGCCTGTTACCAAAATTTTGAGAGATTGAGACTAGAAGAAAGTACAAAGACACACAGATTTCTACTCACTGAGTGATAACTGCTTTTAACACCTTGGATTTAGCCTTCTAGAATGATTGTAAAGCCCCTATGTTATATGAACACACACCCAACATTGCATATATTTGTATGTAATTTAAAAAACTTTTAATTTCATTTTAATTAATTAATTATTTAATTGTTCAAGTACAGTTTTCTCCATTTTCACCCACCACTCTCCCCCGTCCCACTGACCCCCAATTCCCACCCTCAGTCTTACCCCCGCTTGGTTTCTCCATGGGTCCTTTATACATGTTCCTTGAATACCCTTCAAGGAGCATGTATAATACCCTTCTTCTTCTTTCCCTTCTTTAAAGGAACATGTATAATACCCTTCCCCTTCTTTCCCCCATTATCCCCCTCCCCCATCTCCTCTGGTTACTGTCAGTTTGTTCTTTATTTCAGTGTCTCTGGTTATATTTTGCTTGCTTGTTTTGTTGATTAGGTCCAGTTATAAAACTTATTTTAAATACTTTTAAATTTTATTGTTGTTCAAGTACAGTTTTCTGCCTTTTCCCCCTATAAAACTTTTTATATTGTATCATAGTGCTTTGACTGTTTTCCTAGGAAGTCCATTTTATCTAGGTTATCCAATTTGTTTATATACAGTTGTTCATGGCATTCTCTTATTATCCTTTTTATCTTTGTAAAAAGGGAATAATGTCTCCACCCTCATTTCTGATTTTAGTAATTTGAGTCTGTTTTTTTTTCTTAGTACCTCTACCTAAGAATTATCAATTTTGTTGATCTTCTCAAAGAACTAGTCTTTTCATTTTATTGATTTTCTCTATTACATTTCTTTTTTCTGTTTTATTTATCTCTACTATAATTCTATTATTTCATTCCTTTTGCTAGCTTTGGGTTCAGTTTGCTCTCCTCTTGTAGTATACAGTTAAGTTATTGATTTGGGAGCTTTCTTTTTTAATGTATGAGTTAGAGCTATAAATTTCCCTCTGAACACTTCTCTCACTGTATTTTATAAATTTTTATATGTTGTGTTTTTGCTTTCATTCATTTCAAAGTATTTTCTAATTTCCCTGTGATTTATTCTTTGACCTATTATTTAAAAGCATGTTGCTTAATTTTCATATATTTGTGACTTTTCCAATTTTCAGTTTCCTTCCAGTTATTAATTTCGTTTTATTTCATTATAATTAGAAAAGATATTTTGTGTGATTTCAATCTTTTAAAATTTGAGATTTGTTTTGTATCCTAATATATGGGTTAGCCTATAAAATGTTCCACGTGCATTTGAAAAGTGATGCGGACCCTGGCTCATGGGGTCCGCCACATTGTGGATGTGGGAGAGATAATCACACGGACTACTGAGTCCTATGGAGGAAAAGAATGAGCATGACTTTTTTCTCAAGGGATAGAAAAGCAGCCACCATCATGACTGGCCTTTATTTCTTTTCTCAGCGCATTATGTGATGGTCCTCATTTACTATGCACAGGTTTGCTTTAGGTGGTTACTTTTTACAGAAAACAAAGGAGCCAAAGTTGCTAATCACATCATAGAAGAAGGATATTTGCAAATGAAAAGGGAAAAGTGGTTGAACTGGTTACACTGGTCCTTAGAAGGTTTAGCATGGATTTTAGGAAGTTACAGTAAGCACATGCTGTCTCAATTCAGGGCGAGGGAGTTTTAGCAAAAGCACTTGAGGGCAAAAAAAGCACTTTTAGCAAAAGCAAGTCTCAAAGTGGCTTAGGTACATTGTAGGCCTGATTCCCCATGGGAGAACCTATTTGTGGGCGTGGGTCCTGTGCATCTCCAAGTGGGAGCTGGGCCCATGCCACACAGAACAGTCTCCTACAGAAAAGAATATGTATTATGTGGTGTTAGGTGGAATTCTACATGTATATCTATTAGGTGAAATGGCTTTATATTGTCATTTATGTCTGTTATTTTCTTTTTTGTGTGTTTTTTAAATTATATTTTATTGATTATGCTATTACGGTTGTACCAGTATTTCCCCTTTTGCTTTCCCCACACCCGTACAGCACACCATACTCCCTCAGGCAATCCCCACACCATAGTTCATGTCCCTGGGTCAAAAATAACTGCTTTGGCTACTCCCTTTCCTATAATGTACTATAAACCCCCATGATTATTCTTTAACTCCCAATTTGTACTTCTTAATCCTTTTACCTTTTTACCCATTCCCCCAAACCTTCCTATTCCTGGAAAGCATACAAATATTCTCCATATCTATGCTTGTTTCTGTTCTGCTTGTTTGCTTAGGGTTTTTTTTTTTAGATTCAATTGTCGATAGATATGTATTTATTGCCATTTTATTGTTCATATTTTTATCTTTTTATTAAATAATTCCCTTTCACATATCATATAATAATAGTTTGGTGATGATGAATTCCTTTAACTTTTTCTTGTCAGGGAAGCTCTTTATCTGCCCTTTGATTCTAAATGATAGCTTTGCTGGACAATAGAGTAATCTTGGTTATAGGTCCCTGCTTTTCATGACTTTGAATATTTCTTGCCAATGCCTTTTAGCCTGCAAAGTTACTTTAGAGAAATCAGTTAGCAGTCTTATTGGAACTCCCCTGTAGGTAACTAACTTCTTTTTCCTGGCTGCTTTTAAGATTTGGTCTTTATCTTTAACCTTTGGCCTTTTAATTATGATGTGCCTTGGAGTGGGCTTTTTTGCATCCATCTTGTTTGGGACTTTCTGTGCTTCTTGGACTTGCATGTCTATTTCCTTCACCAAATAGGGAAGTTTTCTTTCATTATTTTTCATGTAGATTTCCAATTTCTTGCTGTTCTGCTTCTCCTTCTGGCACCTGTATGATGTGAATGTTAGAACACTTGAAGTTGTCTCAGAGGCTGCTCATACTATTCTCATATTTTTGGATTCTTTTTTTTTCTTGTTCTGATTAGTTGGTTTTTGCTTCCTTGTGTTCCAAATCATTGATTTGATTCTATGCTTCATCCACTCTACTGTTGTTCTTTATTTCAATTAGTGAATCTTTTGTTTCTGACTGGATCTTTCTTATGGTGCTGAGGTCCTCACTAAGTTTTTTGAGCTTTCTTATAAGCAGTGTGTTGAACATTGCATCTGATAGATTGCTTAGCTCCATTTTGTTTAGTTACTTCTGGAGTTTTAAAAAAAAGATTATTTATTTATTTTTTAGGCAGAGGGAAAGAGAGAGAGAGGGAGACAAACATTGATGTGTGGTTGCCTCTTTCATGCTCTCCACTGGGGACCTAGCTTGCAAACCAGGCAGTGTGTCCTGACTGGGAATTGAACCAACAACCCTTTGGTTTGCAGGCCAGTACTCAGTCCACTGAGCCACACCAGCTAAGGCTCATTCTGGAGTTTTGAACTATTGGGCCATGTTTCTTTGTCTCGTCAATCCGACAGCCTCCCTCTGCTTGTTTCTATGTATTACCATGTTTTGCTGTGTATACTGTGCTCCCATGAATAATGCACACCCACATTTTTATTTTTTTATTTTATTTATTTATTTTTAAATTTTATTTATTTATCTTTAGCGGGGAAGGGAAGGAGAGAGGGAGAGAAACATCAATGTATGGTTGCCTTTCATGCATCCCCTGCTGGGAACTGGCCTGCAGGGAACCAGCTTGCAACCCAGGCATGTGCCCTGACTGGGAATCGAACCGTGATTGCCTGGTTCGCAGGCCCGCACTCAATCCACTGAGCTACACCAGCCAGGACACACCCACATTTTTAGCTCAAACTTTCAGGAAATGAACCTTTCACTTTAATTTTTTAAAAGATTTTATTTATTTATTTTTAGAGAATGGGGAAGGGAGTGAGAAAGGGAGAGAAACATCAGTGTGGTTGCCTCTTGCACTCCCGCTACTGGGGACCTGACCCACAACCCAGGCATGTGCCCTAGACTGGGAATCGAACCAGGACCCTTTGGTTCTCAGGCCGGTGCTCAATCCAGTAATCTACACCAGCCAGGGCTTACTTTTATTTTTAACTCAATTTTTTATTTATTTGCATTTAGAAACAAAACCAATTATTATATTCCAGGGTGTTATTTTGCATACAGATATTATTGCTTTCTAGAGTTATACTTTTAGTGCATAAGCATAAAAGAATTAAAAACATTTATATAGATATGAAACTGGTACTCCCCATGTATAATGTGCACCCTCATTTTTCCCTAAAAATTTGGGCAAAAAAGTGCAAATTATACAAGGAAAATATGGTAGATAGAGCTGCTTTGACTCAATGTTTTAGTAGTGTGGCCTAATGTAGTAGACGACCTGTAGGGTCCAGTGGCACAGCCTCCCCTATCAACAAAGTTGGGTACTGGAGGTGTGCCCTTCATGTGGGCTCAGTACACCCTCCTCTTGTAGTTGAGTCGGTTGTCGTTGGGAGATAAATAGGAGGTATTTACTCAGGCAAATCAACCGTGAGGACTGACTGTGGCTGCCGACCACCAACCTCTGCTTTCTGTGGGGGATCAGTTATACAGGGCATGGTGGTGGTGTTCTGATGTAGTCTGTTGCTGGGTGCACTGGCCCAGGGGGTTCACAGGTGATGCAGGCCAAGATCAGCCCCCACCTGTGTTTTGGCTGGGGCCGCCCTACCTGTGCTACAAAGCAATCAGATGGCTGTGACTTGTGCTGGGTTTGGAGATTCCCAGGCAAAGACAAGCTGTGAATCTAGGCTGGCTGCGGCTAGGGCCTGGCCTGGGGCTCATTGAGACCAGCTGTTGCTGGTTTGATAGGATTTAGGAAGTTGTGAAACATGAGCTACAACCATTCATATGGAAAAGGAGCTTGGATGAGCCTGTTAGTTGGGTGGGGCAGAGTCTCTGGGGATTTCCAAGGAGGTTCAAACAATATTAGCAGGTTGTTGGAGTCTCAGATATGGCACCAGCTTGCCAGCTCTGTGGGGGTAAGGTTTAAAAAAGGGACAATGGCATCAGCTTGTCCTGATGCCAGATACTTCTTTTTCTCCCTGTGTACCATTGGTGCTTTTCAAGCTGCTATCCCAGTGCTGGAGCTCAGAGAGAATGAGTTTGAGTAGATGAGTCTGTGTGTGGGTTCTTTAAAAGGAACTGCTTGGGGTTTCAGCAGTTTCTTTCAATGACTCAATCTCCACTGTTTTTTGCAGCCAGAAGTTGTGGGGACTTATCTTCTTGGAACCCTGAGTGGGGGGCCTGGTGTCGGGCTAAGACTCTTAGATATCCCAAGGTATCTAAGAGGGATATCCAAAGAGGGATATCTCCCAAGATATCCTTCTCAAGTTTTTATCCACCACATGTGGGTGAGGGACCAGCCTGTTCTGCATTTGCACCCCTCCTACCGGTTTGGATGGATATGCTTTCTCTACTCAGTAGTTGTCAGACTTCCATCCAGCTGGATTTCGGACGATTCTGAGTGATAGTTCTATATTTTAGTTGTAGTTTTGATGTATTTGTGCAGAGGTGAGCCATGTCTACCTACACCACCGTCATGACTAGAAGTTCTCCTCTTTACCCATTTAAAGTGTATAATTCAATAGCTTTTAATATACAAAGAGTTCTGCAGCCATTATCACAATCAACTTTCTAATATTTTTATCTCTAAAATAAACTCTATATACACCAGTAATCACTCTACATTTCCTCCCAATGCTCATGTCAACCTTCCCCACCCCTATGCCTACCCCCATCCCTTGGAAACCGTTTATCTACTTTCTGTCTATGTAGATTTGCCAGCTTTGGACATTTCATATAAATGGAATCATACAATATGTGGTTTCTTTGTGACTAGCTTCTTTCATTTAACATAATGCTATCAAAGTTCAGCCATACTGTGGTATGTATCAGTGCTTAATATTTTTACTCCTGAGTAATATTTCATTGTATGGATATACCTCATTTTGTTTTTCCATTTGGGTAGTTTCTTTTTAACACAGCATTCCCTAATAATTGTATTTAAATGGAAGTCAATGCATGTCACTCCTCTGCTCAGAAAGTACCAGTGGTCTGCAAGGTCCTACACATTCCTCACGTACTTTGTCCTCACTTTTTCAGTCCAGCCAAACTGGCTTCCCTGCTCTTCTTCCTATGTGCCAGGCATACTCTTGCAGCAAGACCTTTACACTTAATGTTCCCTTTGCCTGTAACTTTCTAACCCCTAGTATCTACATGACTTGATTCCTCACTTCCATCAAATGTTATTAGTTCAGCAAGAAGGTTTTCTCTAGTGAAATATGCTTTTGAACTTCACCACTCCAGCCCTCAACACAGTCTATCTCCCTCTGTGCATTAATTTTCCATGGCACATATAATTAGTATATTTATCTTAATTATTTAAGTTGTTTATCATCTTTCCCCACCAAAATGTAAGCTCCATGAAGGCAAGCATTTTTGTTTATTTTGTTTAATGCCCAATACCTAGGAAAATGCCTGATGGATAGGAGCTACTCTGTATATATTCTGAATGGATGAATGAATAAATAACATTGTCTCTGGAGAGGAAACTGGGTAGTTGGAAAACAAGGTTGGAAGGATATAGTTTATTATATATTGTTTCATACTTCTTAAGTCTTGAATCATTTAGATATATTACCCATTAAAGTAAATAAAATTTAGCCCTGGCTGCTGTGGCTCAGTGGATTCAGTGCTGGCCTGCAAACCAAAGGGTCACCAGTTCGATTCCCAGTCAGGGCACATGCCTGGGTTGCAGGCCAGTTCCCAGAAGAGGACCCATGAGAGGCAACCATATATTGATATTTCCTTCTCTCCCTCCCTTCCCCTCTATCTAAAATAAATAAATAAAGTCTTTAAAAAATAAATAAAATTTAAAAGCTATAATTTAATTCCATCTAGGTTCTTATATACTGTCCTAAAAATGGAAGGTAGAAGTTTCATCGTAAGTAGTTTGATAATGAGAAAATGTATTTTTTTACTCACCATAAAGTCCTATATCATTATTGTAATTTAAAGCTCTCATAAGTCATGACCTAGATGAAGGAAAATGAAAAGCTTTCACTTGCCTGTACCATTTAAATTTCCCAAACTGTATGCTTTCAGAGCCTCTACTGAGTACACATAAAATTATACCCCCCCATTTCTTTCTAACCCCCTGAGTCAAGCACCCCTTTTACATAGCATTGGTTTTTAAACAATATGTAATGGTAAAGCCAGGGCTCAAGTTAGCCAAAAGTACAACTTAGCTACTCTCTAAGGAGCTGTTTCTTTGCTTTCTTCCTTTCTGATCCATAGCTACATACTGTTCTGGGGTTCATACTGCCTAGGCTGTCACATGAGAGAACATCACAATGTTCCAGTGTACCGGGGGACAGACCTTCCGTCTCCCCCATGCAGACTCTTTGGTGGTGGGAAATAAGAGAACATGAACTGCAGATAATAAAACTGTTGTTTCCTGATACAGGGTCAAGGAACTGATTCCTCCAAGGCCCCCCGTTTCCCGCAGGATAGGAGGAGCTCAGAAGGTAAGTGCCAAGGCCAAGGAGAAACCATAAGTAGTAAGGTGTTGAGAGCATCATTTGAAAATAAAGCAAGGATTCTTCAATGTAATTTTCAGAAGGGGTGAAAACTTGTAGCTTCACATATTTTCCTTCTTGTATCTATTTGTGACAAGTGGCTTACAATGAATAGTATTTGGTGTTCAATCTTTAGCTGGTAGTCTCTGAGCTGAGAAGAAGAGGGTAATTTATACCTAAAGTATTATTGAATGTAAAACACAATCCAGGTTCAGAATTCCATTCCACGTCTTGACCTCTTTGAGGTCTCTTTACGAGACAGTTTGTATTTTCCTAGGCGGTGAGTGACTACCACGCGCAGATCAAGAACATTTCTAGAGCCATTCTGGATGAGTATCACAGGATGTTTGGAAAGCAGGTGGCCAAACTGGAGAACGATATAGATAGCGAAACCCTGGTGGAGCAGAAGTGCCAGCTCAACTATGAACTTAATTGCTCTGGAAAATATTTTGCTTTCAAAGAGCAGCTCAAGGTAAACATTCATTTATTTAATTATTCCATGGATTTTATGCAGTGTCTTCTCTATATACCTAGTTGTCATTTTTTCTGTGGTTACGTTCAGCTGTGCTCCCACCTTTCTTGCTAAAGATAGCTATGTTCTCCATGACAGACTGTTAGGAGAAGCTGTACTCCTGCAGAGCCATGGAATGGTTCACATCCTTTTCAAGTATAAATAAGATTCTTCACTTGAGGCTAGTCCAGATTTTGAGCCAGATTTCATGTTGCTCTAGCAGGCAGAAACTCTGTGCCGTGTACTGAGTCCATGACTAATTATCTCTGTCTCCTATTTCAAACTTGTCCCTAGTCCATAGAATCACTAAAATTTGAGAAATATTTACCTAATAATAATTTCCTGAATAATAATGGCTAACTTTTTACTTATTTTTAGAGAGGAGGGAAGGGAGGGAGAAAGAGAAGGAGAGAAACATCAATGTGAGAGAGAAACATTGATTGGTTGCTTCTCACATGCACCCTGAAAACGGACTAAGCCTGTAGTCCAGGCATGTGCCCTGACCGGACATCAGACCAGCAACCATTTATTTTGCAAGACCATGGCACACCTGTCAGGGTGATAATGGCTGACATTTATTGTTTACTGTATACCAGACAAATTTTTTAATGCTTCATATTTTACTAATTTAATCCTCATAAGAACCCTGTGATGTAAGTAACCTCCAGTTTTACAGATGGAGAAATGCAACATTAGTTGGTTAAGTAATTTGCCCAGGGTCACAGAGCTAGTAAAGGTCAGAGATGGGACTCAGATTCTGGTAGCCTGGCTCCAGAAATCACATTCTTAACTGCTATACTACACTGCTTCTCTATGCGCATTTACTATGTGCCGTGTATTATAGTAAACAAATATAAAAAAGCACGTGGAAGTAATAAAGTAAAAAACAACGGATGTTCCCGGAGGCAAGAGGCTGTTCCCAGTAGGTGGCGTGGTCACATTTCAGTTCGATTCTGGCTCTACCATTACTAACTGGATGGTCTCAGCCAAGTGACTTTACATCTCTCTTATCCTCAGTTTCTTTGCCTGACCATGAGGATAATATTAATATTATCACATGGGGTCATTATGAGAATTCAATAATATAATGCATGGAAAGTGTTTAGTATAAAACTGGCAATAATGTTAGCTTGGGGGGAAAAAAGAAGAAGAAGTTGTTTTGGCTATAGCAATGTTATTTGCACAGCATTTTAAGCTTCATCACCTGCCACTTCTTTTTGGCTTTTCAGTCATCTTCTGAAGTAAGATAGTCACACCAGAAATCCATATCTATTTAACAAATAAGGAAACTGAAGTGTCAAGTATAAAATAATTTATGAGATTGTATAGTGGCAGAATTAAAACCAGAATTCCATTCTCTAAATTCTCAAATCAGGCCTTTCTCCCTTGAATTAAGTGGCCACCATAAGAGACATAATGCACAAGCCTAATGCTAAGGTTTTCTTCAGCTTTATGACTCTCTCCACACAGTATCAGTCCTGCATTGACCATATTAGTGACAATGGTGACACCAAGAAAAGAAATCATATTGAGTGTGTTGATTAGGGAAAATTCAAACAGTCAACAGTTTAGCAGTCACCAAGGGAGAAATCGGTTCCTGTCTGAAATTCTTATGAGCCTTAGACCAGAAGCTCAGGGGTGGCCTGTGTGGTCAGCACGGTGCTGGGTGTGTTATTAGACGGGTGATCTGTGTCTCTTGCAGCATGCTGTGGTAAAGATTGTGAGAGAGAAGTACTTGAGAACAACAGCATTTGAAAGCCAGGAGGAACTGCAGACATTCATTAGTGAGCTCTACGTGTTCTTGGTGGACCAGATGCATATAGTCTTAAACCAGGTAGGTGTTCAAGAACTAAGAGCCCTTCCTTTTCTCTGCAGGGCATCAGGGTTTCTTCTGAATAACTCCTTCTTCCTTGTTTCTTTTTCCTTAATTGCACACCATTTATTCAGGTATCTGCTCTGTGGTAGGCACTGAAACACAAAGATGAATAAGAAACTGTGTAAATTATGAGACTGATTTTCAGGAGAACAGGGTATATGCCCTCTCAACTTCTATAAAATTAATTTCAAAACTGTCATAAATATGATGGGAAATAGATAAAATAGGCTATTTAAATTATGAAATGAAAATTATCATTCTATTTATTCTGTGAATGTATGCAATTCTCACTTTTTGTCTTTAAGACTGACAAAACAAAGAAAATTCTTTTCGGCTATCTTACCTCAATGACAACCACACTTCAAATATGACTTTTCTATTTGTGGGTGGTCTGCTTTTCTCCCACTTGTCTGTTCATATATATTATTTGCACAGCTTGTATTTTGCCTTCATTTGCTCATTTAAAAAATTTTGCAGTTGTGGTTAATTTGAAAACAATGACAAAAAATCCGTCTTTTTGTTTTCCTGGTAGTCTGTGTCTAACAAGTTATGCTTCCTTAATCCCCCTATTCTCTTTGCTCTTTACTGTTTTTTTTCTTTCTGCCACCATCATTTTTCTTTCACTTTCTTTAGCCTCCCTGGAAGAGGTAGGAGAAGAGTGTCCAGTGTCCTAGGATTAAGAGTACAATCCTGCTTTGTGCACAGATGATTTGGGTGATTTGATTTGGAAAGCAATTGAGCATGAGGTAGATAGCAATGATTGTTGCCTTATGCCCCCAATGAGCCTCTATCTAGTAGGAGACAGGCACAAAGTACAAATAACTGTGGTAGAGTAAGGTAAGTGGTGTGACTGAGTGTGTCCATGGTGCAGCAGCTTAGCAGATACCTTAAGAAAAAGTGATAGACTTTACCTTGGGACCTTTCAGGGAGGGATTTACAGAGGAGTGTGACTTGAATTGGGCTGTGAAGGCTAAAAAGTTCTCCAGGTGGATGTTTTAGAGAATTTTAGTCAGAGGGAAGATCAAAAAGGCATGGAAACTTGGAAGAATATGATATGTATTAGAACCTGCTTATATTCAGGAGCAGAGGTTGAAGTGGTGAGGAACAAAGAAGTAGGAGATGAAGCCCATTACTGGTGGGGAAGTTGGGAGTGTGGAGGGAGGCTTTGTACAAAAAAGCACTCTCATAGAAGTATGTAGAATGGGTTAGAAGTGGTGAAACTGATGGTGTTAATTGATTATTACATTGTGTGGAGGAAAAGAAATAAAAAATTAAGTTTAAGTCTTAGTGACTGGGCAGCTGGTAGTACCATTATCTGGGACAGGAAATACAATAGGAGTAGATTTAGTGGGAGACAATTGATTTTGATTAAATTGTGAACATTGGTTCTAGTGAGATTTTACTCAAGAGAGAGCTGTGAGCTGGAGATGAAATTTGGTGAGCCATGAATACATAGATGCTAGTTAAACTATGGTGATAGATGAAGCTGCTGAGAAAAATGTGAGTAGAGAGAAAAGCAAGCTGGTGGTAGAATCCTAGGAAACACCAGCATTTAAGGGATGGATCAGCAGAAGAATTAATGAAAGAGGCAAGCAAAATATAACCACAGACATTGAAATAAGGAACAAACTGACAGTAACCAGAGGGGAGATGGCAGAGGGATAATGAGGGAAAGTAGGGGAGGGGACATCAAGGAACATATATAAAGGACACATGGACAAAGCCAAAGGGGGTAGGTTCAAGGGTGGGAGGCAGTGAGGGATGGGGCCTGAAGGCATGGTGGGGGGAAAATGGAGACAAATCTGTTTGAACAATAATAAAAATAATAATAAACATAGAATTTGGAACCAGCAAAAAGAAAAAGAATGAAAGAGGCAAGTGAATTGTTAAAAAGGCAGAAGATCCAGTGGACACTGGTGTCACAGAAGCTAAGGGATGAAAATTTGAAGACAAAGAAGTGGTCAGCATTGTCAAATATTCCTAGAAATTCATGAAAAACAAAATCTGGGATGGAAGAAAGGGGAGTTAGTTAAAAGGTACAAACTTCCAATTATAATATAAATAAGTACTAAGTATATAATATATAGTACTATTGTTAACCCTGCTTTATGATACATATAAAATTTTATATTAAGATAGTAAATTCAAAGAGTTCTCATCACAAGGAAAAAGACTTTGTTTTTTCTTTCTCTTTTTATTGTATCTATATGAGATGATGGATGCTATCTAAACATTGCTGTAATCAGGCAGAAAGTAGAGGTTCCAGCCAAGAAGGAGGTGTAGGTGGAAACACTTTGCTTCCTCATAAAAAAACAATAAACAACCAGAACTTCCAGAATAGCAAACTGTATGAAAGTCCAAGGGATTAAAGAAACATTTATCTAGACTGGTGGGGGGGGGGGAGATGGGCAGCCAGGTAGAGAAGGCAGGTGGCATACCTTGCAGATGAAGCAGGGCTGGCTGACCAGAAAATTAAAGACTCAAAATGTCTAGATGTAAAATACTGTGGGGGTTGTTAAGGTGAGAGAAACTCCCAGTTTCATAGGAGAGTTTGTTGGAAAAGTGGTGCTAGATCAGAGTGAGCAAGCAGTATTGTTCCCTCTCTGACCCCTCCTCAACAGGCAGTGCCACAATGCAGCAAAGAGAGTTGCCCCTCCTGGGCAGATACCTAAGTCTCCACCCTTTACAAATTAACAGGTTCATCAAGACAAAGAAATATGGCCCAAATAAAAGAACAGATTAAAACTCCAAAAAAAGAGCTAAGCGATGAGGAAATAGACAGCCTGTCTGGTTCAGAGTTCAACACATTGGTAATCAGGATGCTCACAGAATTGATGAGCTCAGTCACAAAATGAAGGGAAAAATGAAGGCTACACAAAGTGAAATAAAGGAAAATATACAGGGAACCAACTGTGAAGGGAAGGAAACTGGCATTCAAATCAACAGTTTGGAACAAAAGGAAGAAATAAATGCCCATCCAGAACAGAATAAAGAAACAAGAATTCAAAAAAAAAAAAAATGAGAGGCTTAGGAGCCTCTGGGAAAACTTTAAGTACTCCAACATCTGAATCATTGGGGTGACATAAGGAGAAGAACAAGAGCAAGAAATTGAAAACTTATTTGAAAAAATAATGAAGGAGAACTTCCCCAATCTGGCAAAGGAAATAGACTTCCAGGAAGTCCAGGAAGCTCAGAGAGTCCCAAAGAAATTGGACCCTAGGAGGAACACACCTGGGCACATCATCATTAAGTTACCCAATATTAAAGATAAGAAAATCTTAAAAGCAGCAAGAGAAAAGGAGACAGTTACCTACAAAGGAGTTCCCATAAGACTATCAGCTGATTTCTCAGAAACTTTACAGGCAAAAAGAGGCTGGAAAGAAGTATTCAAAGTCATGAAAGGACAGGACCTACATCCAAGGTTACTCTGTCCAGCAAAGCTTTCATTTAGAATGGAAGGGCAGATAAAGTGCTTCCCAAATAAGGTCAAGTTAAAGGAGTTCATCATCACCAAGTCCTTATTATATGAAATGTTAAAGGCAGTTATCTAAGAAATAGAAAAAGATAAAAAACTATGAGGAGAAAAATGACAACAAACTCACAGTAATCAACTGAACCTAAAAAACAAACAAAAACTAAGCAAACAACTAGAACAGGAACAGAATCACAGAAATGAAGATTACATGGATGGTTATCAGTGGGGAGAGGGAGGGGGAGAGTGGGGGTGGGAAGATACAGGGAATAAGAGTTATAAATGGTAGGCATAAAGTAGACAGGTAGGTTAAGAATATTTAGTATAGGAAATGGAGAAGCCGAAGAACTTATATGTATAACCAGTGAATATGAACTGGTGGGGGGGCAGGATGTAGGAGTATGGGGGGGTGTAGGGCAGAGTGGGCATAGAGGGGAGAAAAAAATTGGAACAACTGTAATAGAATAATTAATAAAATATACTTTAAAAAAACTTGTTGCAGTAATAATTTCACAATATATGTAAGTCAAACCATCATGCTGTGTACCTTAAACTCATATAGGGATGTATGACAATTAAATCTCAATAAAACTAGTGTAAAAAGAAACAATCTGAAAATTTTTCATTGGATTTGACAATAAAGAGGTTATTGTTAACCATTGTATAACAATTTCATTGGACTAATTGAGGAGGATTCAATTTATAATGAATTGAGGAATAAATGAGTATTTAGAAAACAAGTAAATATACATTAAAAATTGGAAGATGAAGGGAAGAATTTGGAAAGTAGTAGCTAGAAATTATAGAGATCTTTTAAAAAAGATGGAAAAGCCTTTAGCATGTGCACTAGTTTGGGAAAAGGAGTCAGCAAAAGATTGTGAAAACAGGAGAAAAGGGGATAATCAATGGCAAGCCCAGGGTATATAAGTGGGAAAGGATTAAGACTTTACCCCAGTACACTGTTGGTGGGAATGCAGACTGGTGAAGCCACTGTGGAAAACAGTATGGAATTTCCTCAGAAAACTAAAAATGGAAATGCCCTTTGACCCAGCAATACCACTGTTGGGAATATACCCTAAAAACCCTGAAACACCAATTCAGAAGAACCTATGCACCCCAGTGGTTACAGCAGTGTTATTTACAATAGCCAAGTGTTGGAAAAAGCCTAAGTGCCCATCAGTGGATAAGTGGATCAAAAAACTGTGGTACATTTATACAATGAAATTTTATGCAGCAGAAAGAAAGAAGGAGCTCCTACCCTTTGCAACAGCATGGGTGGAACTGGAGAGCATTATGCTAAGTGAAACAAGCCAAGCAGTGAAAGAGAAATACCATATGATCCCACCTGTAAGTGGAACCTAATCAAGAGAACAAACAAGCAAGCAAAATACAACCAGAGACATAGAAATAAAGAGCAATCTCTCAGTAATCAGAGAGGAGGAGAGAGAGGGATAATAGGGGATAATGGAGGGGGCCATCCAGGAACATGTATGAAGGACACATGGAGAAAACCAAACCATGGGACATGGGGATGGGTGGGGAGGGGGGCACGGTGGGGTGAAAATGGAGACAATTGTACTTGAACAACAATAAAAATTAAAAAGTTAAAAAATAAAAAAAATGAGTTTAGATGGAAGGGTTAACCTTGAAATAGAAGTTTGGTTCTGCTGCTTCCTCTGATGCTGAAAGGTATGAGATATAGTGGATGCAAAAATAAACAATTTTGGTGTAGTGTTCAAAAGTTGAGGGGTTTATTGCCTAATGATTTCTATTTCATTTGTGAAGTAGCGTCTTTACTGAAAGTGAAGAGGAGAAGGGTTGAACAAAAAGTTTGAAGAAAGAAAAAAATTTAGAGACTGCATAAGCATTGTGACATATGTTGCCAAACGAGGACGAATATATAGATCGCTGGGGGTGTTAAAGGCCTTCAGCTAAGACCAAATGTCAGAAGAGTCTGCAGCAGCTCAGATATCTCTATGCTGTCTGCAGTTTTCCTCAGGACCAGATGTCAGCTCCTACCTGACAATGAAGCCAGATTGTAGGAGTATTTTAATTTGGGAGTTTGTAGGACAGTTGCAGGAGGAAAAGGATGCCTGGAACTTGAGTGTGCTGATGATAGAGTAGTATGTATGGATGATCATGAAGTCTAGGCTTGTCCACTTGGGAAATTATGGGCATATTGGAAGTGCAGGAAATGAAGTCAGAGAGCAGTTTTTAGGAAAAAGGGCAGCAGGCTTGAGTGTGGGTTCTGGTAGTGCGATAATAGAGGCAGAGTTTTTGGTTTTGGTATGGAAGTGTGTTACTAGAGGGATTTGGAGGTCAAGATTATCAAAATTAAAAAGAACAAGAACATAGGCATTAATTAATTAATTATGAGAAGTTCTGTTTGGCCCATCTCAAAAATTTAGTTTTACTTTTCACATCCCTTAGCAACTCCACTTGTTAAAGTCACTGATATTATTTTTACTTCTAATTATGGAATTTGGGGGGATCTTCCTTGGTCATAGCTTCTAACCCAGATTACTTATTATACAAGACTTGCTTTCCTATCTGGGTGTATTAGATATATTATTTTTCTGGGTGTGTCCCTACATTTCTGTCCATTTCTATACTGTCTTCTTTGTAGTGTCTATCTATGTATCTCACTACAAGTATGGATATAGCTTCTAAAGCTTTACCCTTAGCCTCCTGTTTTCTTGATATTTGAAGACTGTAGTTAGTATGTGTCAATCTTTTTCATGTCATGACACCTAAAAAATTATATTTGTCTGTGCACTAAGAAAGTGTTTGATACTGACTTCCCTGAGGACTGAGGAGAGCAGTGCTGCCTTAAGTGATTTTTACTCACTTCCATGGTAGTCAGATAACTGAGCTTCCCTTTCACCACTGGTATTTCTCTCTTGCTTCGCTCTCTCTCTTACTGTATTGGCAAGACTGTAAGAAGCTTTAAAATCATTTTAGACCTCATGACTGGTGTCCTGCATCTGGTTTATTCTTATAAAACTTCTCTACTTGTAATTACTTCATTTTGTCTGCCTAACATCTTGATGTTGACAAGACCATGCCAGATGACGTCCAAGGTGCTGTCCCAGCCATTCATACAACTACTGAACAGCTTCGACTCTTCGCATTTGAAGCAGAAGTCAATGAGAACTTTGGAATGGCAGCTGCATATTATGAAGAGGTAATTAAACACCTTCCCAGTGGTTATTGTTACTCTTATTTGTACAAGATGGGTATAATAAATAGTGGGTTTTGATTGTTTAAAAATCCAACCTGATTAGTGAAAGGATAAACACACAGATCAATAGGAGTCCCAAAATAGGTCCATACAAATAAGGCTATTATATTTTTACAAAAGTATAAAAGAAATTCAATGGAGAAGGAACAGCCTTTTCAAAAAATGGTGTTAGAATAGTTGGTCATCATATTTTAAAAAAATGAACACTTGACCTAAACCTCAAATGTTGTATAAAAATCAACTCAAACTTGATCATAGATCTGAGTGTAAAATATAAAACTATGAAACTTTTAAAAGAATAAAGAGGGGAAAATCTTTATGACCTGGAATTAGGTGAAGAGTTCTTAGACATGACACCAAATCATTACTTATCAAAAAATTGATAAAGGGAACTTTTTAATTTTTGATTAATTTATAATCAAAATTAAAAACATATGCTCTATGAAAGACACTGTTAAGGAAAAGAACCAAAAGAAAATATATGCAAAACATACACCTGACACAGGGTTTATTTCCAGAATAAAAGGAACTCTCAAAACTCAACAATAAAAAACAACCAAATAAAAATAGGCAAAGAAATTGAATAGGCACTTTACTAAAGAGGAATTAAGTGTGATGAAAAGATGTGCAACATCATTAGCCAGTAGGGAATGCAAATTAAAACCAGAATGAGATGCCACTTCATACTTACTAGAATACCTAAAATGAAAAGTGCTGACAATACCAGGTACTGGTGAGGATAAAAAGCAACTGAAATCTTCAAACTTTGGTGAAGGAAATGTACAGTGTTATAGCTACTCTGGAAAGTAGTTTTGCAGTTCCTTGTACATATACCATCTGACCCATTCTTGGGTATTTACCTTAAAGAAATGAAATCTTATGTGTACAAATGCTTATAGCAGCTCCGGTCATAACTTCCCAAACCAGAAGCAATTCAAATATTCTTCAAAGTGTGAACAGATAAACTATGATAATCCATATAATGAGATGTTACTTAGCAATAAAAGTGAACTGAGACATACAACAATTTGGCATTATAGTAGGTGAAAGAAGCCAGTGTCAAATGTTACACACTATATAGTTCCATTTATATAACATCCTTGGAAAGACAAAACTGTAGTGGTAGATAACAGATTACTGGTTGCCAAAGGTTGTGGGTAGTGGAAAAGATGACTATAAAAAGATAACACAAAGAAGTTTTCGGGGGTGGTTAGAACTGTTCTGTATATTGATTTTGGTGATGGTAACATATACATATGTTAAAATTCATAAAACTATATACAAAGAAAAAACATTAATTTCTTATAAATAATTAAAAAATAAAACCTGTGTATTCAACAAATTCAGCAAACATTTACTGAGCCCTTATAGTGTGTTATGAATGACAATTGAATTACCTAGTTCTGTTAGTACTGCCTACATCATGCATCATGAGCTAAATAAACACATATGAAAAAGTGGTCTAAACCTTCATTTACATTTATTTAATTATTGAGATATAATTCACCTGCCATAACATGCACTTATTGTAAAGCATACAATATTATTTACTATACTGTATTTACAGAGTTGTGCAACTATCACCACAATATAATTTTTAATAGATATTTTTCATTTTTATTTTTTATTTCTCAATTATAGTTTACTTTCAGTATTATTTTCATTGGTTTGAGATATACAGCATAGTGATTATACAATCATATACTTCACAAGGTGTTCCCCTGATATTTCTAGTATTCACCTTGGACCATACATAGTTAATGCAATATTATTCACTACTGTATTTATAATAGACTTTTAAAGAAGTTTTAGGTTCATAGCAATACCACAATTTATTTTAAAGAATTTGTATTACCCCAAAAAGAAACCCTATGCCCATTAACAGTCACTCCTCATTCCTCTTTACCCTCTGAGGCAACCACTAATTTACTTTAAATTGTGCAATATATAGATATACCTATTGTAGATAGTTTATATGAATGGAATCATGTAATTGGAGGTCTTTTGTGTCTACCTTCTTTTACTTAGTATAATTTTTTAAATCCTCACCCAAGGATATGCTCACTGCCGGGGACCAGCCTCGCCAGGAGAGGGGAGGGGGTGGAAATGAGTCAAGTTGGAGAGGTCTCAGCATCCCGCTGAGCCCTGAACTCCGTTTCTTCAAGGCTTTTATTACAATTATGGGGAATAAGCAGGAGGGGGCCGCACCCAAGCCAGTTTGTTTGTCCTTTCTGCAAAGCTACTCCACGGAACAACAGGGGAACACAGGGTGCTATCAAAACTTCCATGTCTTTCAAGCACCGGTGCATGACCTACCCTTCTACGGGGAAACAGGCTGTCTAGCTTATGCTAACAAGTTCTTGGGAAACCTATTGTCTACCCACAGCAGGTTCTAGGCAGGTAGCCAAGCAAGGTGGAGAGGAACTGCGCCACAGGCAGCGGCCTTGCCAGCTGGCCCTGGCCCCCCGGCTTTGCTAAGGGGGGCTTGCGGCGCGTCTCCACGAGCAGTGGCTATGCCGGCTGGTCCTGGCCCCCTGGCTTTGCCATGGGGGTCTAGTGGCGCCCACAGCTCACCGATTTTAGAGAGTAGAAGGGGGTGGGGGAGGAGAGAGAGAGAGAGGGAGAGGGAGAAACATCAATGTGAGAGAGAAACATCAAGTGGTTGCCTCCCATATACACCCTAACTAAAGAATGAACCTGCAACCTAGTACGTACCGTCACTGGGGATTGCACCTGCAGTATTTTGGTGTATGGAACAATATTCCAACCAACTATGCCAACTGGCTATGGCCACTTAGCATAATGTTTCTGAGGGTCATTCATGTAGCATGTGTAAGTGTTTTAGTCTTTTTTATGGTGAATAACATTCCATTGTATAGATACACCACATTTTGTTTCTTCACTCATTATTGATGGGCATTTGACTGGTTTTCACTTTTTAGCTCTTATGAATAATGCTGCTATGAACATTCATGTATAAAGTATGTGAATTTTTGTATGAATGGATGTTTTCAGTTCTCTTGATATATACTAAGAAGTAGAATTGTGCCCTGGCTGTTGGGTTGGTTTTATTCTATGGGGCAGAAAATACATTGATGTTCCTCTCCCTCTCTCCTTCCCTTCCCCTCTAAAGATAAATAAATAAAATCTTTAAAAAAAAAAAAAAAAGAGAGAATTGTTATGTCATATGGTAACTCTGTGCTTAACTTTCTGAGGAACTTCCAAACTGTTATCCAAAAAGCTGTACTAATATTTTACATTCCCACCAGCAATGGATGAAAGTTTCATTTTCCCCACTTTCTTCCTAATGCTTATTATTGTCCATTGTTTAAAAAAAAATATAGCCATTCTAAAGGGGTTGACATGGTATCTCATTGTAGTTTTGTTTTGCATTTCTCTAATGACTAGTGATTTTGAAGATTTCTTCACATTTATAATTTTTTCAAGTAGAAAATATTTTCTAAATTCTAAATTAATTGACGAAGGAACATTTAGACCTCAAGTTCAAAACATCAGTCTATATAAATAAAGTGTCATGTCCCATTGTGAATGGCTTATTTTACTCAGTATACATTCTTAAGGGTTCATTCATAATGAAGCATATGTCAGAATTTCTTTTCTTTTTAGGGCTAAATAATATTTCATTGTGTGTTATACCACATTTCACTCATCTATTCATCTGTCAATGGGCTCATGCTTGTATCTTTTAGCTATTATGAATAACACTTCTATGAGTATGGGTGTACAAATATCTCTTTGACACTCTGCTTTCAGTTCTTGTGAGTATATACACAGAAGTAGAATTGTTGTATCATAAAGAAATTCTATTTTTAATTTTTTTAAGGAACCACATTATTGTTTTCCAAAGTGGCTTCATTTTATATTCCCACATTGTACAAGAGTTCTAATTTCTCCACCTCCTCATCAACAATTGTTATTTTCTGTTTTGTTGGTAATGGCTATCCTAACTGGTGTGAGGTGGGATTACACTGTGGTTTGATTCCTTGACAATTAGTGATGTTGAACCTCTTTTCCTATGCTTTTGGCCAGTTGTAGATCAGATTTTGGGGAAAATATCTATTCAAGTCCTTTGCCCATTTTTGAGTTAGATTCTCTAACATTTTCTTATTGAGTTTTGGGAATTCTTTATTTATAATATTCTAAATATTAACCCCTTAGCAGATATATGGTTTGCAAATATTCTTTCCCATTTCTCCCCAAATCACTGTGAGTTATATATTTACTCTATAGATAGTTTCTTTTGATGTACACAAGTTTTTAATAATGGAATCCAATTTGTCTATTTTTTTCTTTGTGGCCTGTGCCTTGATATCATTTCCAAGATTTCATTGTTAAGTCCAATGTCCTGAAGCTATTGTCCTATGTTTTCTTCTCAAAGTTTTATAGTTTTAGGTCTTATGTTTAGGTCTTTGATCTATTTTGAATTATTTTTGTATATAGTGTTAAATAAGGGTCCAACTTTATTCTTTTGTATGTAGATATCCTGTTTCCCTAGAACTATTTGTTGAAAAGACTCTTCCTTCCTTCCTTCCTTCCTTCCTTCCTTCCTTCCTTCCTTCCTTCCTTCCTTCCTTCCTTCTTTCCTTCTTTATGTACTTTAGAGAAAGAGTAGAAGGGGGTGAGAGACAGAGAGAGAATGAGAGAGAGAGAGAAATGTGGATTTGTTGTTCCACTTATTGATGTATTAATTGGTTGATTATTCTATGCGCCCTGACTGGAGATTGAACCTACAACCTTGGCATATTGGGACAATGCTCTAAAAAACTGAGCTACCTGGCTAGGGCCATGTACCTTCCCTATTGAATGTTGTTGGTACCTTTGTCTAAAATAGTTTGGCCATATATGCAATGGTTTATTTCTGGGCTGTCTATTGTATTCCGTTGGTTGCTATGTGTGTTTTTATACCAGTACCACACTGATTA